GCAGAGTGGGAGGAAAAGAGGAGCCAAAGGGCAAGGCCTTGCAGGCCAAAAACAGTGGCATTTTATTTGCATCCCGAAGTTGGCAAAGTCTAGGGAACACTTGGGTTACAATGAATGTTCTATGTCCTTTTTACACAGGAGCCACATGGTCTACATCTTTGGGGCATCAAAATTGGGCTCTAGGTTCTTCCAAAGAGTCTTCCCTACCCAGAATGCCACCAGGAGGGTGGCAGGGGTGAAACATGAGAAGAGTCAGGACTTCTCTAAGAGGAAGTCAAGGAGGACCCATGTGCCCGGGGTTCCCAGGTCCCCGGGCAGCAGCTCAGTGCCCAGCAGTCCTGGCGGAAACGGCGCACTGAGAAACAGTAGATGAGAGGGTCCAGGCAGCTGTTGAGGCTCAGCAGCGCCAGGCTGAGCGTGTGCAAGACATCGAGCATAGAGACTGCATGACATCCACCGCCGTCGCCGCCCGCGTTGCTCTGCTTTCTGGCTACCCAGGGCGCCAGCAACAGGTGGTAGGGTGCCAGGCAGAGGGCGAAGACCAGCAGGAGCCCCAACACCATGGTTCTGGCCGCGCGCCGGTGCGGGCCGACGGGGGCTGAGCCAGGGCCCGAGGGCGGGGCAAGCGTCCGTGCCAGGTTCAGGTAGGCGGTGAGCACCAGCAGGAAGGCGGCCGCAAAGAAGGCCACAGTGGCGTAGGCCAGGCCAGCGCGCGCCCAGCCATACTCCAGGCAGTGAGCGGCGCCACCCGGGCCTGGGAGCAAGGCATGCGGAGCGGCCAGCGAGGGCACTGCACAGGCCAGGCCCGCCAGCCAGGCGGCGGCACACGCGGCACGAGCAGGGCCTGGGCGGCTCAGCCTGAGGCGGGTGGCCACCCTCAGCCCAGGCTGACGCACAGAGCCACAGCGGCACACGCTGATGAGCACCGCGAAGGCCATGGCCGAATAGGTGGACACATAGTAGGCTGCCCCGGCCGCACGGCAGACGGCCTCCGGGAAAGGCCAGTGGGCCCGGCCAAGGTAGTAGGTGAGCCACAGAGGCAGCGTGAGCGTGAAGAGCACGTCAGCCAGAGCCAGGTTGAGCAGATAGAGACGCAGGGCCTGACCCAGACGCCTGCCGCTGCGGACAAACACTGCCAGGGCAGCCACGTTGGCGGGCAGCCCCAGGCCCAGCGCCAAGGCATAGGCTGTCGGGACCACGATGAAGCGCGCAGGGTCATCCCATGGGCTGCAACCGCCAACACCCAGATCCTCAACACTGCTGTTCATCTCGAACCTTGGACTGGGGAGAGGAAGAGACATTACCAGGAGGCTAGCCACAAAAGAATCCCTCTCCACACCCCCAACCTCCTCCAGCCCTGTCTTCCTTAGCTGGTGCTGTGAGAAACCATAGAACAAGAAAGTCCGTGCAAGAGGGGCTGAGAACTGAGCCTGACCAGCAGCTGCTGGCCATGGAAAAGCAGGGATGGACTCCAGCGACTTGAAGTAGACTGGGCTTGATGACAAGCTGTGGGAAATGAGGAAGAAGCAGAAGTCTCAGATTCCTCGAGAATCTCCCATCTTGGCTGCTGGAAAGGTGAAGGTGCCCCTCACTGATGGAATATGGCTCAGATTTGTGCAGTAAACACAAGCTCTACTGAGCCAATGGAGTGTTCCAGAGGAACCAGAATGGGATTTATAGTCCTTTGCAGTTAAAGCCCAAGTCTCTCTCCTCCATATACCATCCACTGGAGGGAGGGTGGAATGAACAGAGGAGGGGTCTTACGGTGCAGCTGCCCAGAAGTTAGGCTCCTGCACAGTAATTTTGGGCTTGCATAGGTGCACCTCTGGGGCTTGCCTGGAGCACCTCTGACAAGGCTGAAAGGTTTAAAGACCCTCAGCCTTCCAGTGTATTTCCTTCCCTTCCAGCTCTTGACCACAAAGACTTCCTAAATCTGATTCAAAACTTTGGAGAGCAAACCAAAAAGGACACAGGTCTGGCAATCAAACAGATTTAAGATACACACATTTATTTGCCATGTGACCTTGGGCAAATTACTCAGCTTCACTGAACTTGTCTTCTTTGCTATAAAAGAGAGATTAAAATATCTACCTCACAGGATTGTTGGGAGGATTATGAGAAAACATAAGTAAAACTGAGTACTGTGGCTGACACTGGGGAGATACTTCATAACCATTAGCTCCCTTCCCCTCTAGGCAGCACACAGATGAATGTGTACACCCACACAGGCACACATATAGCGCTAGAGACACAGACAGCCCAAGCAAACAAAACAACATAAAGACATCTGGGTGTATCCCTACTCTTTCCCCAAGGGGGGTAAGTACACAAAGACAATGTCCTCTTCCTATATTTAGAATATAAGCACAGCCCTAGGGCGTCACAAAACTTGGTTCTTAGTACCAACATTTTATTTCTGCCTCTCACCTCTAATCTTTTCAGGGACCCTGAGTTAATATTCTCTTCATTCCTTTTCTCAGCTCCATCCACTTTGGTTGTAGCCCCCAAATGCCCATCCTGAGCCTCCCCTTGTTATCCCACCAGATCATTCCTCCCTTACCTCTTGTTCCGACTGCAGCAGCTCTCTCTAGGGCTCAGTGGGCCTGGCTTTAAGAACTGAGGGCAGAATTCACTCCCACCCACATATCCCAGAACTTCCCATCAACTGACTAATCCCAGGATGCAACATGAAAAATGGGCCTAACAGCTGGAGGGGGCTGGGACCCACCTGTGGCAGCTGTGAGCTGGGTTTGTGGGGTGTAGCCAGGGCCCCAAGAGAAGGGAGTATCTGTGGCGCAAGGGGGTGGTGTGAGGGAGAAAGTACAAGAAAAGCCTGACAGCTGAATGTCATTGTGCTGACCTCACTTAGGTTTAGGCTGAAGTTGGGGGTTGGGGGAAACCAATTTTCCTAAGGCCTGGCTTCTCCTTGGGCTGAGGAAGCACACTGCTGGATCTCAGAATACTTCTGTTGCTGTCAATCCCAACCGCTCCTCCATACCAGCTGGCCAGCCTACTCCTCCAGCACTCTGTCTTCCTGCAGCTGCTGGGCAGACCCTACAGTCAAACTTGGGGGCCCTGTAGTGCTAATCAGCATACAGGCTAAGCCTTAGTAAGCAAGAACGCTCAAGCTAATGCCAGCTGTGAGGTTTTACTCAAAGTCGTGGCTGGAGACAGGCTGGCTGTGGCATCCTGGAAGGGGTGGGGACAATAAGAGGCCAAGATCCTCTTTTTTTCATGGGCTTCAAAATTTTCATGTAGAACAGCCATTCTGAGAAATGAGGCTGATTTAATCACACTGGACCAATCATCCTGTTCACCATCTAGGTGAAGAAAGTGGGTGTGTCAGGCCTGCCCACATTCAACTTTGGCAGCAAGTGCAGTGGAAAATATGGGTCTGAACTCAATCAGGTCTTAATTTTAGTCTCAGGTCTGACATGTAGTCTCCTTCTGAATCCATTTATCTGTGAACAAAATGGCATTTAGTAACAGAACTCACTTATGTACCAGCTACTACTGCAAGCACCTTAACTTACTAAATCCTCCAACAACTCTATGGTGTCTATCATTATCTGTATTTTGTAAATACGTTATAAGTGGCAAAACCATAATCTTCCTCTTCCCTTCTTGACAACCAGTGTGGGTAATTCTTAGCTAGCCTAATTCTATCATGGAATTCCATTCTCCTTGCCAATAAAATAGAATGGGAATGTGACATAATTCTTACCAGTGGGATGTGAGGGCATATCTAAGGGTAACCCAAGAGAGCTTTCCTTTCTCTCTTCACCTTTGGATGATCAGTGTAAAATGAGCTATCGGGAACTGATACAACTATTTTGCAACCCTGAGGGAAGCAGCCAATAAATTAAAAGCAGCAAAGCAGAAAGCTGAGGCAATGTCAATGTTTGATGCATTGTTATATGGGCAGCCAAACTACCCACTGTTTAAACTGTTATCTCTAGACCTTCTTTGTTGGAGAAAGCTTCCTTATTGTTCCACACATCTCTTATGTAGTACACACACACACCTACATATTTATGTACTATACATAAACTGTTCTGTATATACTAGTGTTCATATATGTACACATACCTGCTATGGGTACATTGCCTTACAACTATGCTTTCACACACAAGATCTAACTTGTCAACTAATCTGAGGCTCACAGTGAGTCAGTGTCAGAGCAAGATTTACTATTTTGTAGTGAGAATGAAAGGGAATAATACATAGATTTCACTCTTGTGAACCCCCGAGGCTCTTGTCCCTACCCCCAAAGCAATCTGGCAATCTGTAGGTTGGAAGCTAGAGTGTATATATATATATATACATACATATATATATACATACATATATATACATATCAGTGAGCTTTTCCCTATCTTTCCTGTGGGAAGCACACCACTTCCAAAAATGACCCCCACTGAGGGGAAGATGGCCGGTGATGTTACTAGGTGGCCAACATAGTCACGTTTCCCTCAAGTATTATGACACAAATACATACCCTCTGACACCCTAGGACTTCTGGATTCATCCCAGGCTTCTGGGCCTGCTTTAGCATGGAGTTGGTTGTGTCTCTGTCTTCTACCAAGTATCAAGAAGCACTACTCTGAGTGGCCCACCTTACCACCTGAGGCTGGCAGTTTCAGATGCTGGAAAATGATGACTAAAAGCTCCTCCTTGTTAGCTCTGCAAATCTGAAGTGCCAGAGACAAAAAGCAGTGGGAGGGAATACCTCATGTGGCTCAGGACACAGGCAGCAGGCATTTATAGTCTGCCATATGCCATGTGTAAATTTTAAGTACGCAATAAAAACCCTTTAAAAGGTACATTCCTTTGAACTAGCACTCTCACTTCTAGAGAAAAAAAATAACTACGCGAAGGTGATCTACTGTGAAGTAACCATAAAACATTGAGAGCAATCCAGATATTCCTCAGTGAGAGCTTGAGCATATAATTATAACACATCCTTACAATGGAACACCAGTGGTCATCAGGATCAATAAGGTAAAATACACATGGAATGTTAGCATTAAAAAGCAGCTAATAAAACAGTATATTCAATGATTTCATTTTCATTAAAAAAATCTGTATGAAGGCATAGAAAAAGTAGAGAGGTACAGTTACACAAAGGAATCACAAGTTCTTTGGGGACATTAAAATTTGGGGTGATATAAATTTCTTTTCCATTTCTTTCCTATTTTTACATGACATGAGGAATGTTAGTATGTCAGAACAGTAAATGTCTGAGAGAGAAACCAGGGCCAGGTAGACAGGATGTCTATTTCAACACTGCCCGAAATTCAGGCTTGGACAGATCAGTAACAAGGTAGTAGGAGACTTTGTTCTGAGTTCCTGCTGTGATGGCAGCATGGCAAGCAGAGGCAAGAGACACTCTACTCCCTCCAATCCTTGAACACACTTCAAGTCGTCTTCCTACTGGGTCTGACCAACTTCTTAGTTGGGACTAAGATCTGGCAGATATCCAGCAGCAGCAGGAGACCCAGGCAGATGACGGCTGGAACATAGGTGATCAGTGACTCTCTCAGAGATATCAAATTGAAGACAGCCCCTGCAATGAAAAGTGAGGTCCCTGAAGCTCCCTGGGAGCAACTCTCCAGCCCAGGCTGCCTATTGAACACCACCTCCCCCATACACCAACACTGTAATTACGTACATTCTTGTCCTTGACTACCCAGAGGGGAGAAGCAGCAGGAATCAGAGGATACTTAAACTAATGTAGCCCCTCTAAGAGAACAAGAAATAATCCAGCCAAACAGGGGAGCACTTTGGAACAAATTCCCCCCATCCTTCTTTATTAATCCTCTTGGAGAGGAGTCCTAGGGGTTGGTAGTGGTGATGCGGGAAAGACCTGAAAATGAAGGAAACTAGAGATAGTAAGACTAGGGGAGGAGCGGTAGTGGTGGCAGCGTGATGACACAAGGCCAGGGGATACAGAAAAGCCTGAGGATGGCTGGCCTCTGAGGCAACAGTCCTACACAACAGTCCTTATGGGCCAAGCTACTATGAAGGGGCCCTCAAGGATTGTCGACCCCAGGGAAAGTTTCTGCCTTTCTGTTCAGGGGCCCGACTTCCCTGCTTTCTGCTTCCACCTGCCAGACACATAAGTAAGTGGCAGCTGTTCTTCCATCCTAGGAGTAGGGGTGGGGACAAAGTGGTAGCTGCTTTTAGGTTACAATATGTCCTTATCATGGAATACCATTTAGCTAATACAACTGGTGAAGCAGAAGGTAAACTGACAAATTAATGTTAAAATATATTAAGTTTAAAAAGTACCTGTCCTAAAGACCTAAAGACCAGAGCAGAAAGTGCTCCCCCCACCACCAGAAAAAAAGAAGGTAACAGCCAACTCTTTCCAGCACCCTCCCCTAGAAGTTGCCACTTCCCCAGCCCAGTGACCCCCTTACCAGTCATGAGCAGGGTTAAAAGCAAGTTACTGATCTCTTGCAGCATCGTTGGGCCCAGGGCCAGCAGCAACCCAGCCAGCAGTTCCAGCCAGCCCACAGCCACTTGGTAGCTCACAGGATCTGGCTGGTAGCCGAATACCTTCAAGGGGAACACCTCAGCAAACTGCGTGAACAGGACTTTCTAGGGGTGGCAGGGAATGCCTGTCAGTCACTCACCAAGGATCCACTGTCCAGGCTTTCCACAGGGCAGAGTGCGCCTACACCCTCCACTCCCCAACAAAGGTGCTACCTAGGTCAGGACAGGTCTAGGCCTGAGGTCAGCCTGGAGGGGAAAGACCCTCAAGGAGAAGGGCTGGGCAGTGGTGCAGATGGACCACACCTCTCACCAGATTACAAGCCAACCCCAACCCCAATTCAAGGGTGAGAATCCTGGGCTTGGGGCTTCTCATTAGGGCCACGGACTTGGGAAAGTCATAACTTCTCTTTTCTGTGGTCAGGTTTCTTTTCAGGCTACTATGAAGAGAATGTTTGGTGGTGGAGTAAGGGTGGAAGAGCAGATTATTATGCATCCTACTCTATCCCATGCTGGGTCCTAGATCCCACAGCTGCAGATAAAAGGGCAGGTGACTCTCCAGGGCCACATGACTTCACTCCAACCCTCAGGTTACCCTTTCTTACTCACCTACCTCCCCTCCTAAGTAGTGCCTGGAAGAAGCTCTAAGTTGCTTGGCTCTGGGGATATATACTTCCCCAAACAACCCACCACTCTCAGGAAGATAGGAAGCATCCAGGCCTGGGCAAGAGAGGCTGCCCAGGATCTTGAAGTCTGGCTTAATTGAGAAGCTGAGGAGTTGGTGGGCAAAACACCAGGCTCTCCCTGGTGGTACACATGGTTAAGACACAGCACTATCAAGCTATCAAGCAGCACAAATCCCATCCTGGACAGGGAGGTAACCCACATATGGCAGGAGACCTCTGCTATCTCACCTGCTACTCCCCTCAGCAGTGTATTTCAGTCTAACTGCCTGTTCTGCTCCTCACTATCTCTGGTGAATCCCCTCATTCTTGGTTATCTCTGGTCTGCACTCCAGCTCTTGTAGGAATAAATAAATCAGTCTTTGCGGTGGGAGGGGTGGGGGGGAGGAGGGGAGGAATAGGAACTTTCCTGCCTCTGGACATAGACAACAGGCTGAGGGGCAACTTCTAGGCCTCCTCCCCAGGCTCCATGGAAAAGAATCTCAGGATTCTGATTTAGGACAATGTCCAGCTTTGGCTCCACTTCCGGACTGTATAACCTTCAGGAGATAATTTCACTTTTAGGATAGGTTTCCTGCCCTGTCAAGCAGAAATTAACAATCCCCTGCCTCATCGACCTCCCAAGAATGCAAGCAAAAGGTGAAAGGACGCGGAGATGAAGCTCTGCCCCCTTTCCCTTCCATCTTCCCCTCTCTCTGCTGCCTCGGGCCACTAGTGTTCCTGGTAGAGGATGTCCTGGTTCCCTCTGACTATGGAAGAAGTGAAGAAACTCTGCACATGTGAGTGGAGGTCCAGGTGCTCTTCCCCCTTACTCTGAAAACTTCTCGCCCGCCCAAAGGCAGGCAGGTCCGCCTGGCACCGGCGTGGGGGTCGGGGGCGGGCCCAGTCTCGGTAACGCCCAGGGCCTAGCACCGGGGCGCCTCGCGACCAGACCCCCACCGCCGCCCACACCGCGCCGCTCACCATCTGCTCCAACAGGGGCTCGGAGATCTGATCCGAGAGCTTGGCCAACCCCGTGAGCGCGAAGAAGCCACCCAGCAGGACGCGCAGAGAAGTGAGCGCCATGGCCGCGCGACTGGCAGCCACTGCGGGGCTGACGCGCCCGGGGCAGACCCGCCGAAAACACGCCCCCTGCCGCCCGCCGGTTTCCTCCCTCAGACAGCGGAAGAAACGCGCGCCGGCGGTTTCCCGCGCCTTGCCGGTGGCTGACCCTTTTCCCGCCCTGCTCGGCCGCTGGAGGCCAGGCCGCGTGGGAGCGGCTTCCCAGCTCACAGACCGGGTGGGTCACCGGTCTGGGCAAGTCTGTCTCCCAGCCGAGGCGGCGTACAGTCACCCTTGGGGATTAGGGTGTGATTCGCGTAAGGGCTCCGTTTACCTTAGAAAGACCCGACTTCCTTCCTGCCTGTGGCACACTGTTCTGAACAGTCACCTCACCTCAGCGCGCCTCAGTGTCTCCGCCTGTAAGTGGTGGATGAGGCCGTATCAGTTCTCTTGGATTTCTAACGAGTCTAGCACAATGCCTAGCACATCCATACATTGATGGAGAAAAAGGAGACATCACAAGGTTGAAACCTGACTCATGCAAGGACTTGGGGGCAGAAGGAACTAACATGACCATTAATTAACCAGCCATAGAGACTTCGATATCAGACTGCTGTAGGGAATATGGGAAGCACAAACCTGAGGGTAAATAAAGATACAGACATTGGGCCATTCTGAGATTCCACTAGTTATCCAAAGTCAGCAGCTAACAGGCTACTCCACAAAGGAGTGAGCCCCTCCCAGAGAAAAAAAGGACTTTTATCAGCGCAGTCTCAGCACTGGCTCACGGCAGCTGCCCTGCCCACCTGTGCCTATGCAGGTGCTTCTTTCCACCCAGATTCTCCCTCTGCAGGGCAGCAGCCTCTGGCCTGTGACCTGTTCTTTGCAATGTCCTCCCTCAGAAGAGGCAGCTCTCCTAGGGCCACCCACCTGGGACCACGCAGGCCTCTCTGCAAATCTGTCCCTTTGGGCAGCTCTTCCTGCCCACTTGTGAGTATGCAAGTGTCTCTACTCCTCTGTCCTTTTCCTGAATAAACCTGCTCTTTAAGTGTAACTGAGTCTCTGTCCCATGGAGAAACTCGCCTGGGGAACTCACCACATGGGACTGAGAAGAGGAGCTCTAATGAAACCTTTCCCAGAGTGAACCCAAGAATCACTAACCCCAAATAAGACATCATTTACGACCTCAACAGTTGCTTGTAAGTTGATATTGACTTATTATTGTAATAAACCAATAATAATTATAAAATATGTTGTTCCTTTCTGCCTTTGCTAAAATATATTTTGCCTCTAATTTCTCTCAGCCAAAATTAGAAAATGAAAGGTATTTGAAAATTAGAAACCTGAAATGGGAAGACAGTTTTACTGAAAAGTCTTTTAGACCTGGCATAGGCAAATTGCAAGCCAAATTTGGTCTGCTGTCTGGCTTCTTAAACTCTCCTACACTTAACAATGTTTATTCAGATTTTTTAATGCTAAAAAGATTTTTTAATACTAAAATGACACAAGAAAATTATAAAATCTCTATTTCAGTGTTCATGAATTAAAAGTTTGTAGCTACACCACAGAACTGAGTACTTAGCCTACAATGTCTAAAATTTCTACTATCTAGGCCTCCCTAGTGGCTCAGGGATTAAGTCTCAGGACTACCAATTTATCTCCAGTCACTACTAAATTCAATCCCCAGTCAAGTAGCTGACCCACATGGTGCAGCAGGCACTTCCTCTCATGCCACCTGCTCACCTCAGCAGTTTATTTCAGTGTATTTTACCTGTTCTGCTTCAATTCCTCTATGCACAAATAAATCTTTTTTAAAAGTTTTATTTATGCTTACAGGACTGGGGTACAGGCCAGAGGTGTGGTGGGTGAAAGGATTCACCAGAGACAGAGTGGGGAGCAGAACAGGCAGATCTACAGAAATATATTGCTGAGGGGAGCAGCAGGCGGGTCAGGAGTGGTCTGCCACACCATGTGGGTCAGCTCCCTGGTGGGGTATCGAACTCATGCTGCAGTGGCTTCAGAGAGCTTCATAATGTGGTGCTTTAACCTGTTGTGCCATCAGGAAGAGCCCTAAATCTTTAATAAATAAATAAATACATTATCTACTACCTGACTGACCCTTTATGAAAAAATTATGCTTAAGTCCATCCAGGTCTAGTGAGTTGATGAGAACAAAGGTTTCACTCGTGAAACCTTCCATTTGTTCTATAAGCCACTGACATCTTTGCTTTCTACCTTCCCACAGTGTCTTGGAGTGGTGGCTGACTGGCTAAGATTAAAAACTTCCTTGTGCAACTAGAGGCCAGGCTGTTTCAAAATCCAGTTATGCTTTTATATTATAAATAGAGCCTTTAATTATTTTTTGCCACTAATACAAACTATTTGATCCATTGGTAAAATTCTTCACTCTGGACTGTTAAAATGACATACAATACATAAATATTGAATTCCTCAACAAAATATTATTAAAACAGTTATTTAATCACTGCAAACACATATCTACATTAGGAAATTATATTTTAGGATACTTATACAAAATTTAACACAAAATTATAGACTTTGATAATAAGCAATATGTATGTTTCGCTATTCTTTCTCCTTTACTAATTTTTCTATTCTTGGAATTAAAGATGTGACTGCAAGTCTTAGGGCAGGGCCAGAAACTAACAAATTTCTTTGTTTTGACTCAGTCAAAGCTGAAAACGTAGCATCACATAAATAGACAGTTGAAAAGGGCAATAACAATTTCATTGCCTTTTCATGGAGTTCTGGGTAACTTGTCTTTGCATTTATCCAAAACTGAGTTACAGACATTGATTTAAATGCTGACTGTAATCCTAAATCTGAAGATAATTTTGCTAGTTTTTCTTCTTCAAAGTCTGTGAGATTACTATTTTGGTGGTTTGTGAAAGGATTAATTATCCACAAATTTCCTGAACGCAAATCTTCTTCCGGTGGATAGCAGTCATTGAATATTTGGAACAGTCCTTCCAGGTGCTCAACAATAATGTTTGCAATGTGTCTCATATTTAAGTCTGATGAGTTGGAGAATTCAGAAAATGAAGGAAACATGTCATAATCATTCTCTTGTGTGCGCTTCAACCACATCTTTAACTTTTTCTTAAATACATCAATTTTGTTGTACAAACTGAAGAGAGTAGTCATAGTTCCTTGGAGACTTAAATTTAATTCATTTATAAGTGAAAAAATATCTGATAAGTAGGCCAGCTTTGCAATCCATTCCTCATCAAGAAAATACTTGGCCAAATCTGAACACTTTTGATTTAAAAAAATTTCAATTTCATGTCGTAATTCAAATAATCTTGTTAAAATATTCCCTTTCAACATCCAGCGTACTTCAGCATAAAGAGGTAGATTCACAAGCTCAGACCCCATCTTTTCACACAGAATTGTTAACATACGTGAATTTAGTGCATTGCTCTTTATAAAACTTAAAATTTGTGCAGACTGCAAAAGAATTTCATGTAAGTATGGAGACATCTTTTCTGCTGCTAAATGTTCACGGTGAATAATACAATGTGTAAATGCCACTGTATTTATGGTAACTTCTTGAATTTTTGTCCTTAAACCAGAACATCTGCCAATCATACTTGCAGCCCCATCTGTGCAGAGACCGACACAATGTTTCCAATTCAAAGATTTACTAGTAATATATTTATTTATTAGCTCAAATATTTCAAAACCAGTTATTTGAGAAGGCATTTCAATGCAACACAGTAATTCTTCTTTTACCTCACTACACTCATAATCAATGAAACGAATATAGCACAAAAGAAGGGTGGTATTGGAGATTTCTGATGATTCATCTATCTGAAGGGCAAACCACTTTGACTCTCTGACTTTTTGAATTAGCTGATCTTCAATATCTGCAGACAGTTCATCAATCCTGTGTCCAATTGTATTATTAGATAGAGGAATAGTTTTCATTTTGTCTCCAGCACTTGAACCCAAAACTTCTGAACACATTTCTACTAAATAGGGTTTAATTAACTCTTCAGCAATGGAGAATGGCTTCTTGCTGGCAGCAATTTGAAAAGCAATTAAATAAGAAGCTTTCACAAGGGACTTTTCAACTAGTAAACACCTTTTTAAAGAACTGTTTTGACATTCCATTTCAAGAAATTTTTGTTCAAAAAAATCCACTGGTTTGTTTTCTAATTCTGAATGTTTTGTCTTCAAATGATGAGAAAGATTTGCTGGCTTCATGTTTTCACTGGATAAGATTTCTCCACAAATGACACACTGTGGTTTTGGTGAACTGTCTTTTGATCCTGGGCAGATAGTAAAACCAACTTTTAAATATTCCACATCATAAGTTTGAAAAAAACCCATTCTTTTTTTCTTTGCAGGTGGGGAGTCAAGTTCCACATCATTTTTCTCATTAGGCATGGGCAAATCTGAATGAAATATTTGAATAACTGTTATTTTCAAGAATAAACAATATTCTTTGTATTTTTCCTCATACATTACTACTTAAATTTGTAAGAGAAAACACTAAAGTTTAAACACAAGCTATAATACTTTCACATTGCCATTAAAAACTGAACTTCTCCTTCATCCAAAGCTTGGTTACTGATGTAGTAAAACTAGAGGCTGTGGTACATGTACTAGTAATGCTCTGTATCCAATAGATAACTGAAATTAAGGCTAATGTCTGTAGAATATGACAAATTAAGAATAACATTTTTAAGAAGCTTGGGGGGAAAAGCGAAAACAAATGTTGCAAGACGTTGGCATTCAGTGAATCTAGATGAAGGATATTCTGATGTTGATTGTGCTCTATTTTCAATCTTTCTGAATTTTGAAATTTTTCAAAATTAAAATTGGGAAAGAGATAAGGGTTAATTATTAGATCTAATATCCATTGTCCAAGGAGGTACAGAGAATGAAACTGCTGACTGACTGGAGCATAAGTGGATGTAACTTCAGGAAGGTAATTTTACGATATACATCAAAAGTCATAAAACTCTCTAGTTTTTTAATCAGTAATTCCACTATTTAGGATTTTTTCTAAGGACATAATTATTGTTTTTAGTATTACAAATGTGTAAGCAATTGAATTGCTTATTCTTAGGGGTATAAATTATATTACATGCACTGGAACCTCAATGTGTTTTGTTAAAAACCACAATGTGTTTTTATTTTTTTTTAATTTTTATTTATTTGTGCATACAGAACAGGGGTACAGGCCAGAGGTGCAGAGGCGGTGAGAGGATTCACCAGAGACAGACTGGGGAGCAGAACAGGCAGACTGACAAAGTACACTGCTGAGGGGAGCAGCAGGTGGGTCAGGAGAGGTCTGCCACGCCCTGTGGGTCACCTCCAGGGCCGGCGGGGATCGAATTCATGTGGAAGTGGCGTTAGCTTCTTAGTGTTGTGCATTAACCCGCTGTGCCACCAGGAAGGGCCCACAATGTGTTTTTAGATTTATATTGAGGGGCTTCCTTGTAGTGCAAGGGTTTGTCTCTGTGCTATCAAGCTATCTCCAGTCACTGCAGCATGAGTTCAATTCCTGGCCAGGGAGCTGACCCTTATGGCATAAGAGTCTTCTGTTTCACCACTGCTCCCCTCAGTAGTGTATTTCAGTACATCCACCTATTCTGCTTCCCACTCTGTTTCTACTGAATCCTCTCATGCCCTGCCTCTGGCCTATACCCCAGTTTTTGTAAGCATAAATAAATAAAAACATATCTTAAAAAACTAAATTTATAATGACATGGAGTGATGTTTCCAATGCAATATCAAATGAAAAAGTAGTTTATATCAAAATATAGCAACCAATAGTTAATACAGAATTTTTTAAAATGTTTAAATATACACACATACTGATATTCACTGATCCTTTCTACCTTCCACCTAGGCATGTGGCATGTAATATAAATTAATGTCCACAAAAAAGTGTATCATTTTAACAGAAATATAAAACAAATCTACCAAGGAAAGAAAATAGGATTCTCCTTGACTCCTACCAAAAGAAAGGCACACTACATACAAACTCATGATTACTTGTTAAAAGATTAGCTTTCAAATATAACATAGTCCACAAAACATTAAAAACAAAATTTTAAAAGTGCTTTGGATAGAGTAGCTTGTGAAGTAACTGCAAAAATAAGAGCACTGAGATTAAAAAGAATTAACATGGATTGGAACAAGTTTACAACCTTACCTTTTCAAGTATGCATTCAAATAATCTTCCTGATCATCAATACCTCAGACATAAGGTGATGCTTTCAGTATCAAATCAATTTAATGTTCTTTTAAAAAAGAACCAAGGTTAAATTTAACTAAATTTGTATCTTAGTAATTATAATAGCTTATCTATATATCTGAAAAATAGCAGTGCACACAGGAAATGTTTATCCCTTTTACACATAATACACTGTATATGGAATCAATTTAGCAGTTACTAGTGTTGATGACAACCATTACAAAAGGGATAAATTAAATGTTAAAAATATGTGATCCAAGAATTAATGTTTTTACATTTAAGACACTGTCAAATATTTTCATTTCCTTTCTTAAAAAAAAAAGAGAGAGAGAGAGAGACAAACAAGCAAATCAGAAAACAAACTTTGTACATGTGGAAAGCACAGAACACATACCTGTCTGACATTCCTTGTGCTGTGTATGTGGTTTGCATGAGGTAGCCTTGGTCTGTGTGACCGGCTTGCACAATACTGCTTTGTTCTTTAAAAATCTGGAAGACTGGGAAGATGTAAGTTTCATGGCATCTGTCTGTGTAATTTCCTAAGTTAAAAACAAATTCGGAAACCCGAGAGATTTTGTTTTTTAATATGTTATCCCTGAATGTGATTGCTATTAATTAAAAGTGGCATATATCAAGGGAAACAATTCTTCTAAGAGAAAAGTTGGCCTAAAAAAGTCACTTTGAAAAGTATACGCTACTTCCTAATTCTTCTAGTCAGTATCAATGCCACTGACCGACTTCTAGAAAACACTGTTAGCACAGTTAGAAACATCTTACTGATTAAGACAACTCGGTATTTAGAAAAATAAATCCAACTTTAGGTCCTTATGCAGAATCACATTCAATATTGTTTAAAGACCTCACCATGAAAGAAATGAAACTAATCACTGAAGTACTTCCAAATGACCTGAAAGTACTCTTTAGAAAAGGTGTTCTTTAGAGTTAAAAATAAAGTAGAAAAGACTCACAATTTGACTAGTCCAAAATTTTTTTGCAAAAGACTTTATTTAAAAAGTTAAGGAATGGGAGAATGTATTTAAAACATGTTTTCTTCATTCAATTAATATTTACTGAATGTTTGCTACAAGCTAGGCACTGTTCCACACGTTGGGGATACAACAGAGTATAAGGCAAAGTCTTGCTCTTACAGGTCTTACGTTCTACAGGAGACACAGGAAATAAACACATGCAACATTTAATTCCAGGTAGTGGTGAGTGCCATGAAAGAAAGCAGAGTATGGGCATAGAGAAAGGTAACTCTGGAATAAATTCTTGAACTGAATATTCTGAATATTCAAAAGGGCAAGTCATGTAAAGGTCTCAGGTCACAGAATTTCAGGCAGAGGGATGATAGGTGCCAAAACTCTAAAGCAAAAAGAGCTTGGCAAGCTTTAGGAACATCCATAAGAGCGAGACTAAAATAAGAGTAAGCAAGGGCTAGATTGATATGTTTGGAGAGGTAAACAGAAACCAAAGTGTGTAGGATCTAGAAGGTCTCTGTTTAAAAAAAATAAGAATTGTATTTTTAGTTTTATGGGAAGCTATTGAAGGTTATATTAACATTTTCTGCTCAAAGAGGTAATAGATGTGACAACTTTGAATTATGTAATAATTCAAAAGGTATAAAAGTGCATACATGAAAATTTTTCCATGTCCCCCTACCATCTATCCACAGTCAACCTTGAACACAACCACTGTCCCCAATTTCCTATGTCCTTCTAGAGGTGATCTATGTGATTAAAGAAGTTACTTCTGACTACAAATGACAGCATATTGTTAGCAAGTTTCAGCACCCTACTTTGTCACTTAGCAAGCAGTCTTGGAGGTATATTTACATAACTGAATAAAGCTGCCTAGTAACTTTATTGTACATACCTTTTGTATATTGTATATACTGCAAATTTTAAAATTCTATGTAAGCTTTTTGAATGGATAATGTAACACCACATGAAAGTCAAAGATTAAATTAGCAAACTATGGGGATATATTGCCCATTTCCCCCTACTTATGCCTCTTCAGATGGTTATCTATTTTAACTGCCTTTCAGAGATATTCTATACAAAAGTACAATCATGTACCTTGTGTGTATGTGTGCATATTTAAAATACAAATGGCAGCAAGCTAGGGCTCTCCCTGGTGGTGCAATGGATTAAAGCACAGCACTGTGAAGCAACCCTTAGCCACTGCAGCACTAGTTCAACCCCCAGCCAGGGAGGTGACCCACATGGCACAGCAGACCTCTCCTGTCGTGGCCACTGCTCTACTCAGCATTAAACTTCAGCCAAGCTGCCTGCTCTGCTCCCCACTCTCTCTGGTGAATCCTCTCACCTTCCTCCCCTACACCTCTGGCCTGTATCCAGTCTTGTATGCATAAATAAATAAATCTTTTTTTAAAAAAAACACAACAACAAATGGCAGCAAGCTATAGTTTTGTCTCCACACTCCCCCCCACCCCCACCCCATACTTACTATATTTGAGACTGCTATGCCTGTAAATATAGAGCACTGTATGGCATTCTATTGCATGGATATACCATGTTGAACTAAGTTACAATAAAGCTACTTTGAATGCTTCTGGAGGGAACTTCATTTGCCAGATCATGTAATTAAGTGTGAAATTGGAGAGTGGAATGTATTTCAGGCCCTATACATGTGAGCTATTTCTTTTTCTAATTTGCACATTAACTCAGGCAGAACTCACAGTGGCCCTGGACCACAGATGAAACAATTAGGCCATTTTCAAGCTGTTGCTACTAGAAAAAATGCTGCAGTTAGGGTCCTCCCCGGTGGCGCAAGGGGCTATAGCACAGCACTGTGAAATTATCCACAGCCACTGCAGCACAAGTTTGAACCCCGGCCAGGGAGCTGACCCACATGGCATGGCAGACCCCTCCTGTCTCGCCCATTGCTCCCCTCAGCAGTATATTTCAGTCAATCCACCAGTTCTGCTCCCCTCTGTCTCTGGCAAATTCTCTCCTCCTACACCTCTGGCCTATAACCCTGTTCTTGTATGCATAGATAAGTAATTTTTTTTTAATGTTGCAGTTAATATTCTTACACATACTTCATTTCATATATGTGCAAAATGTAAAAATGACACTCTTGGGTATATTACTTACATCTTAAATTTTAACAGGTTTTACTAAACCGCCCTTTATAGTTTTACCCATTTATCCTATTAGCAATAAAATAAAAAGTTTTAACAATGTTATCCATCATTTTCCTCTTTGCCAATCTGACAAAATTGTAATTCTATCTGGGATTTCTTTAACTCTGAAATTGAATAGTTGTACATATGTTTAAGAAATATTTTTATTTCCTAATCTGTAAACTTGTATTTCATACTTTGGTCCATTTTCCTTTGGGTAGTAGGTTTTGTTTTTTTGTTTTAATTCATGGATGCTCTTTACATATAGAAAATAATAATCTTTTAAGGATATGAGTTGCAAGCTCTTTACTTTCTTCACCTGTCTTTTGACTTTGAAAAGTAGCTTATTCTCCCTAACAAATCTTTTATGGCCTCTGGAATTCACATTTAGAAAGATGTTTCCCATTTCTGCCTTATTAAATTCCTTTCCTAATCCTCTTTTTTTTTTTTTTTTACATTTTACTTTTCTTTACTCACCTGGACTTCATTTTGATTTTATTTTCTTCCATAATCTACTCAATTGTCACACTAACTTATTGAATAATCTAACTTGAAATGCTAACTTTATTACTTCTAAATTCCTATATATATCTAGATATATATATGAATATATATATATATCTAGGGCTATAGCCCCTTGCACCACCAGGGAGGGCCCTAGATATATATCTGGGCTTCCTTCCTAGAGTTATTTGTCTACGCATATTTACAGTATTGTTGTTTTAACTATGTGGCTTAATAAAGAAATGTTTTCCTATAATTTTGGAAACTAGCTCTTCCCCTTCTTTATTCTTCATAATTTCATCAAAGGTCTTTAAGCAGTGGAGTTACACAGCCTAATTTGTGTTTAAGATCATTCTGGCAATAGTGCGGAGGAAAAATCTGAAAAAAACAAGAATGGAAGCAGGATGTATGGTAGGGGAAGCCGCTGCAATAATCCTGAAGACAAAAGTGGCTCTGACTAAGGTTGCAGCAATAGGGATAGCTAACAAATAGGGAATACTGAAAAAGCTGTCTGAAGGAAATAAAAGGTTCTATTTTAAACATGTTATTTGAGATAGTTATTATTGATTTAAGGATAAATGTCAAGTAGGCAGCTGGATAAATGAATCTGAAACTCAGAGGTCAGGGCAAGAGAAGTTAATCTGGGAACCAGCTACCATCAAGATAGTGCTTAAAACCACAGACCTGAAAGCCCCCTAGGGGTTACAGAGATTGAGAAAAGTGCCAGGTATGATGTCTGGAAGTGTAATGACGAAGACAATTCAAGAAGAAAGGCAACATCAATGTGTTAAATGTTACTGAAAGCCTGGTAGAAAGAGAAATGATAACTAACCAGTGGCCTTAGCAAAATACTGAGGATTTTGACAAAGATCAGTTTAAGTGGAGCTATATAGATAAAAGCCTGCCTGGTATGAGCTAAGAAAGGTAACAGATAAGGAAATGGAAGCAGTGAGTAGAAGCAAGGCTTAAAAGTGGTTTCCCAAAATGGAGAGCAGAGAAGTAAGAGCTATGGTTGATGGAGAACCACAGTATAAAGGATTGTTTTTTAAGCTAAGAAGTCTTACTGAATATTTTCATGTTGATGAAAATGATGAGTAAAAAGGGAGGAAAGGAACACGGAATATACAAAATTCAATAAGAAAAAGGCAATTTAACACAAAAATGAGGGAAATTCAAAGAAAAGAAAAATTCAAATGTCCAAAAACACAGGAATGTAAGCAAACTTGCTTGTTAACAGGGGTACATGCAAAATAAGATAATAGAAAGTTATCGAACAAAATGACAAAAAAAAAGTTTCATCTGACATTAAATGACAGTGCTGGTATGGGAAATTAGTGCAATTGTGAACTGCTGGCAGGAGTAAAAATAGAAACAACTCTGAAGGAAAATTAAAATTGTAAATACACATTGACCCTAAACTTCCACTGTTCAATATCCACACTAGAAACACTGCACACAAGAAAACATATAAAACAATGTTCACTTTTGCAGAGATTTATAACAATGATAATTCTGGAAGCAAAACATAAATAAAATGTAGTACCTATAATACTATACAGCAGTCAACAGGAATGCACCAAATCTATTAAGTGTCATGGATTTTTTCCACAGAATTAATATTTTCCATGGATTTATATACAAAAATGTAAAAAGTTTAAAATGGCCTGAAAATACATACACCAAACTGATAATAGTAGTTACATCTAAGGGTGTGAAAAGCTGATAGTAAGCACAACACAAAAGGCAGAATTTTTTCTTAAAAAGGAGGTGAACAAATAAGCCAAATGTCTGGATGGTAAGAGTCAGTAGAACAGGGGCTGGTATGTATGGCTCATGGCCGAACCCAGTAGACCACCTATTTCTGTAAACAAAGTTTTAATGGAACATAGTCACTCATTTATGTTGACTATGGGTACTTCTACAATACAATAGCAGAGGTGAGGAGTTTCAACAGACATCATATGACTCCAAAGTCTAATAAAACAGTTATATTTACAATTTTTGAAGAAAAAGTTCTTGCTGACTTCTATAGATTTTCTTCTTCATACTTTCCTGGAGATACAGGAATTTCTTCCAAATTTAAGATTATTTAAAGGACTTGAAGGGGATTCATACTAAAGGCCCAGAGAAACAAGATTCTTAAACTGATTAAAAAAAAAACACAAGAGTACTACATTATTTAGGGCCCTCCCTGGTGGTACAACGTGTTAAAGCACAGCACTATGAAGCTGGCTACAGTCATCTCAGCTCTAGTTCCGTCCCCAGCCAGGTGACCCACATGGCACAGCAGACCTCTTCTGTCCTACCCACTGCTCCCCTCAGCAGTGTACTTTATCTATTGCCTGTTCTGCTTCCCACTCTGTCTCTGGTGAATCTTCTCACCACTTCTGCATCTCTGGCCTGTACCCCAATTCTGTTGCATAAATAAATAAGACTACACCAAAGAGTTGTGTTTAAAAAAAAAAAAAAAACAGTACTACATTATTTATTATTATACTTTTTATTATAGACTAAACTGAAAATATTAATCAAGGCTAGTTAAAATGAAAGGTGAATTAAGAGATGTTCTCAGAAAAGAAACACAGGACAGTCACATTTAATATGATAATATGTTTCTGAAAACTGTACATATTTCAAAACTAATAACTCAATACTAACTGTCCTATACTTAAATAAAGTAGAAGAAGGATGCATTCTCAGAGTAAATAAATCTATAAGCAACACAGAATATTTTTATAATCATCGTCAATATAAAACATACTATACCAATGTCTTAATTATGAGTTAATAACAAAGTTAACTGTAAACACAGTTATTGTATAAATTTTAAATATCATTTATGTGCAATCAATAATATAAAAATAACTATAAAGCTAAAAATAATTCACTAACAAGGATACAGCATGAAAATAAGTGATCATTATCAATTTTGTTATCATTATCATCATCATTATCATCTTAAAACAATAGGAGAGTTAAGAGATATCAATTAGGACAAGCTATGTCCCTGTATAGTAAAGGTTGGCCTAATTCACTGTAAGACTTTTGCTAACAAATGAATCTGATGTAATTTATTTTCTTTTTCACTAAGAATTTCTTGACAGGTGGACTGTCCATCTCTCATTCTGCCACCATGGAATAGTAATCCACATTTGATAATCTCCCAGAAAAGCAACTAATCTCAAAAAAAAAAAGGCAACTATTGCTGAAAAATAGTCAAAAATCTACAATGTCTAATGTCACTTCACTATTAGCTGACGTCCTGAAGGCCAGGCTAATTGCTGAGGAACCTGTCCAGCTACCTTTGTTTTTTCTAGTTCCAGCAAGTCTTCTTTTATTAATCCATGGCAAACAACCTAAGCAAGATGTTATCCTTCGTTTCATTCACAACTTGAGCAAAACCTCAATTAAATCTCACAAACCTACTTTTTTTTTATCACTTTTCACAGATTCTTTATTAGCAGATATAATCTTCCAAGTTAAAACCTCCTTAAATTATGGTAAAGCTGAAATGTTTTGATAGTTTCAGAGTTAGCAGGTATAACTACTCTTAAAACCTAGTTGGGCTTTAAAATTAGAAAGTCAGGGACCTCCCTGGTGATGCAAGGGGTTAAACACAGCAATGTGAAGCTATTCACAGCCGTTGAAGCATAAATTCAATCCCTAGCAGGGAGGTGACCCATGTGATGCAGCAGACCTCTCCTATCCCAAGGGCAGTGTTATTTCAGTAAATCCACCTGTTCTGTTCCCCACTTTGTCTCTGGTGAAGCCTCTCAATGCCCCCTTTCGTGTCCCCCACCCCGTGTACCTCTGGCCTTGTACCCCAGTACTTGTATGCATAAATAAATGAATTAAAAAAAAAAAACTGACCTGCAAATAGAAATCACTCAGGTATGTTATAAGGCTATATAGGAGCACCACAGTGATATTGTGGGTTCTGTTCCAGACCATAACAAAGGAATACTACAATAAAGCGAGTCACAAAAACATTTTTGTTTCCCCAGTGTATATAAAAGTTAGGTTTACAATATACCGTAACCTATTCAATGCATGATATGTCTAAGAAAACAAAGTGCTGATACCTTAATTTAAAAAATATTTTTGGGGCCCTCTCTGGTGGTGCAGCGGGTTAAATCTCACAAACCTACTTTTTTTTTATCACTTTTCACAGATTCTTTATTAGCAGATATAATCTTCCAAGTTAAAACCTCCTTAAATTATGGTAAAGCTGAAATGTTTTGATAGTTTCAGAGTTAGCAGGTATAACTACTCTTAAAACCTAGTTGGGCTTTAAAATTAGAAAGTCAGGGACCTCCCTGGTGATGCAAGGGGTTAAACACAGCACTGTGAAGCTATTCACAGTGCACTAAGAAGCTAAAGCCACTTCCACATGAGTTCGATCCCCGCCTGCCCGGGAGGAGATCCACATGGTGTGGCCCACCTGCTGTTCCCCTCAGCAGTGTACTGCGTCAATCTGCCTGTTCTGCTCCCTGTTTTCTCTCTCTGGTGAATTCTCTCACCCTCTGCATCTCTGGCCTGTACCCCAGTTCTGTATGAATAAATAAATAAATCTTTAAAAAATATATTTTTGTTGTTTAAAAATGCTAACAATCATCTGAGCCTTCAGTAAGTAAGTTACCATTTTGCTGGCAGTAGTTCTTGCCTTGATGCTGATGGCGGCAGACTGGTCAAGACAGTAGTTGCTAAAAGTTGGGGTGACTGCAAGTTGTTAAAAAACAACAATGAAGTTTACTAAATTGATTCTTTCTTTCATAAAACATTTCCCTGTAGGTACAATACTGTTTGGTAATATTTTACCCACAGTAGAACTTTCAAAACTAGAGTAAATCCTTTCAAACTCTGCTGCTGTACCATCAGCTGTTTATGTAATATTCTACAATAAATTATTTGTTGTCATTCCAACAATGTTTACAGCATCTTCATTAGGAGTAGATTCAATGTTAAAAAAAATTACATTCTTTTTGCTAATCTATAAATGCAAATTTGCATCCAATAAAATTGAACATGAGATTACAGCAATCCAGTCATATTTTCAGACTCCACCGCTAGTTCTAGTTCTCTTGAATTTCTAGTTCTGATTTCCAATATATCAGCAGCTACTACCTCTAGTGAAATCTTGACCCCTTCAAAGTCATACATGAATATCAAAACCAACTTCTTCCAAATCCATATTTATGTTATTCTGACCTCCTCCCATGAATCATAAATGTCTTTCAATCACAAAACTATTTAATAGCATCTAGAATGGCCCTTTTCAAAAGGCTTTCAAATTAACTTTGTTCAGATGCATCAGAGAAGTCACTGTTTATGGCAGCTATAGCCTTACAAATTGTGTTTCTTAAAATAAAAAGACTTGAAAGTTGAAATTACTCTTTGACACAAACACTACAGAATGGATGCTGTGTTAGTGGACATGAAATTAACATTAATCTCCTTGTACATTTTCATCAGAACTCTTAAGTGACCAGGAACATTGTCAATGAGTAGAAATATTTTGAATCCTTTTATCCAGAGCAGTGGACAGACTTAAAATATTCAGTAAATTGTGATGTGAACAATGTATTGTTATCCAAGAATTGTTATTTCAATTTCAGGACACAGGCAAGAGTAGATTCAGCGTAATTCTTAAAAGCCCTAGGATTTTCAAAATGGTTTATGAATGCTGGTTTCAAATGCATTAGTCACTAACAAAAGAGCACTCCTGTTCTTTGAAGCTTTGAAGCCAAGTGTCCACTTCTCTTCTCTAGCTAAGAAAAGTCTTAGATGACACCTTTTCCAATACGAGACGGTTTCTTTTACACTGCAATCTGTTGTTTAGTGTAGTCACCTTCATCAATGATCTTAGCTAGTCTTCTGGATAATTCTGTATCACTTCTATATCACCTTGCACTTTTAGTTTTGGAGGCAGTTTCTACCCTTAAACCTCATGAACCAACTCCTGCCAGCTTCAAGGTTTTTCTCTGCAGCTTCCTCACTTCTTAATCTTCATAAAACTGAAGAAAGAGACTTGCTTTGGATTAGGCTTAAGGGAATGTTGTGGGAGGTTAGAGCTTCCAACCAGGCCACTAAAACTTTCTTCTTATCAACAATAGTGTTTCACTTTCTTATCATGCATATATTTACTGGAATAGCACTTTAATTCCCTTCAAGTTTTCCTCTGCATTCACACCTTGGCACAAGAGGCCTACTTTTTGGCCTATTTTAGCATGCCTACTTTACTAAGTTTAATCACTTCTAGCTTTAGAGTTAGAGTGAGAGATGTGTGATTCTTCTTTCACTTGAATACTTAAGAGGCCAGTACAGGTTTACTAATGGCCTAATTTCATTATTGTCTCAGAGACTAGAGAAGCTGTAGAAGAAGGTGGAAAATAGGGAAAATGGCAAGTTCCCCAATAGAGCAGTCAAAACACACAAACATTTCTGGATTAAGTTTCTGTCTTATATGAGCACGGTTTTTGGCACCTTGAAACGACTACAATGGTAATCAAAGATTACTGGTCACAGATCACCAAAACAAATGTAATAATGAAATAATCTGAATCATTGTGAGAATTACCAGAATATGACATAGAAACACAAAGTGAGCACATGCAGATATAAAAATGACTCCAAAAGACCTCCAATATGGGGCTGCCACAAACCTTCAATTTGTGAAATTTGTGAATTTGTGCAATTATCTGCGAAGAGCAATAAAAGTGAAGTGCAATAAAAAGACGTATGTCTGTGTCCAAAATAAAAAATAAATCCAACTGGCATTATAAGGAAAAATATTAACAATATTAACAACAAAACTTACATCTTCAATGATCTCTGTCACCTCTTTAGTAACCGCACCTGTTATAAATGAAAACACATATTTACTACTTCCAGCACATGTAGAAATCAAGTTATTTTCCTCTCACTAAGGTCAGCTAGAACCTAGATCAGAATTTCTAAAAAAATGGCCCAAGAAAACTTGGCATCAATATGAGCTGGAGGGCTTGGTAAGGTGATAATTCATAGACCCCCCCAGTCCCATCCTAATATATTAGAATCTCCATTGGTAAAGGCATATAGACTGAAATCATGTGAGTTCCTAAAAAAAATTACATATACCACTTCCTTCACTACCCGGTGCCACCCTGCATGCTACCCACTTCCCTCAAGAGACAAAGGGGAATTTTTTTCTGCATATAAATGTAGTAACACTCACCTTTATAGTCTAACTAAATGCCTTTATATCAAATCATACCTTCTAAAACACTGTTAGTATTCCCTGTGGACTGGGCAGGAGATATTTTTGCCAATGACACCACATTGATTATAACTGGTGTTGTGTTTGTCGTTGCAGAAGAGAGTTCCACTGGAGCAATTTTTGGCTTAGAAATAATTACTAATTAAAATAAACAAAAAGGTAAGACCTGGTGTAAGCAAAGGATCACACAAAAGAACTAACAACTAAGTCTTCAAGTTACAATGCAAACCTCTGTCTAACATTGAGTTTGGTTATACTGTTATATTAATATTCGTTAATCAGATCAGGGCTAGAGTCTGATTCTCTATTATTTAACAGGTAAAAATAAAGGATAGGTGCAGGAGTAACTGGGCTTTTCTATTAATGAATATTAAAACTCCTACACCTAAAAATTTAACTATCAATTTTTATAAATAAGTTGAAGTAATTGCCCAACCACACAAGAACTGATTTTGTTAATATACATTATACCGTCTTAGGTCTTTGGAAATGGATGGCCTACACAAAATATTAGCACAAAACACATGTAATGAAAGTGATTATTAATAAGACTACATAGGCAGGCAAGGACAAGACTGTAAGGATCAAAGCACATGGATGCTGTCAATTCAGCAGCACTCCACACTTTGATAGTCGCAATAATAACAAGTGTTTTTAATATAACTCAGAGAAGTACTACTTTGGAGAGCTACTTTAAGAACATGCCACATATCTATTCATATGGATATTTTGAACACATTAGCTGTCCTAGTTGCAAAATTATTTCATTCTTAGCCAAGAAAAACTTTGCTTCCCATGAAGAACTGGTCTACTTTATTTTTTGTGCTATAATTAATGTGTTATTCTTTTTCCTTGGCTTCAAGTAAGCTATGGATCAAATCTTACACCAGTAACAGCAACTATATTACTTTTTCTGCCCTGCATTTCTATTTTAATATCTAGTTTATTAACTGAACAGCATAAATCCAATCAAAGGCAATCAAATCTAATTTTCCTACAAACTCAGTGCTTATAACACTTATTGATTTCTTCTGTGTTTCATTATCATAATAAAAAGCAGCAGGATTAGTATTCTCTCAAGGACAATCTTTAAACATTCTTAAAGGAAATTCAGGCGATTTGAATCCAGTGAAATTTTGTTCTTAGTATATTATTCACAACTATGTATACTGATAATATTCCTCGTACTGACATAAGGATATCATACGCCAAGTTAAATTTTACCTTTTCTTTGTGAAAGAGGGTCATTTGTAATTTGCCGATGACAAAATTCCAAGACACAAAGTAGGTTACAGAAGTGTTTGATGTTTCCTCGCCATTTTATGGATTCACTTAGTTTACCCTGTCGTTTACAACCATCACACTTGGCCATCTAAGAAAGAAATTTGTAAGGCAGGACAGTCTTAAAACTAGGTAATAATGAAAAGAGAACAATCATAAAACCAGAAGGCACTATGAAAATAGGATATCTGAGTAAGATCATTTCATATGAATGAAATCATAAAATGTAAGGTTCCTAACTAAAAATACTGTGGTTAAAATATACATACACTTATTTGTTACATATAGATGCCATTGATCAAAAGAATATAAAAGTTGATTTCCCAGTTTCAAAAAATTACCCATGAAGAAAATCTAAATACAGGTTCTACTTTTAAAAGGTTAAGAGACAATATATTGCAGCAGATAGAATGTAAGTTTTGAGTCATAAAGATTTTGATTTATTCAATAAATATCTAATGAAGTATCCTTTGTCTTTAGTACTGTGATAGATCCTGATCGTATAATAATTATAAAATGACATACACCTCCCACAGTAAGATTCTATTTTGGGGGGTTGGTGGTTACAGGTGCTATACATCTGTCATCTACCAGGTTCTTCAAGGGCACAATACTTAACTTCCCTGGACCTTACTATTTTTCCTAATTTGTAAACTGACAACAATATACCTATGTCTTGGGGTTGTAAAGAAGACTTAAGAAGCACCAGGCATGCATTAGCAGTTCAACTGGTTATAACTTCCATTATTAGTCTTTCAAAAGGATGATTCTTTTTGATTTTTTTAATAATATAATAGTTTATTTTTACATCATTTTGTACATTTTTTTCCATCTCAATTGTAATCCCTGTGGGTTTCCCATCACCAAGTCACCCATGTGCCATCACCATAGTCCAGCACGCTTCCCTCCCCCCACTATTTTTGATACCATTCCCCACTCCACCCCCATAAAATATCTCTGGTATACAGCTGTTCATTATTATTATTTTCTCGCCTGGTCCATTATACTCCTGCTATGAGCGAAACCATCCGGTATTTTTTCTTTTTCTTTCTGGTTTATCTCACTAAGCATGATCTTTTCCAGCTCCATCCATGTTACTGCAAAAGACATGTGTTTATTTTTTTTTTTGGTTGCTCAGTAATATTCCATTGTGTATATGTACCACATCTTTTTAACCCAGTCATCTAGTTTTGGACATTTGGGCTGCTTCCATGTCTTTCCAGTTGTAAGTAAAGCAGCAATAAACATGGGGGTGCGGGTATCTTTTTGAATCAGTGTTTTTGTGTCTTTTGGGTAGATATCTAGAAGTGGGATTGCTGGGTCGTAGGGAAGCTCCATGTTAAGCAGTTTGAGGAACCTCCAAACAGTTTTCTATAGTGGTTGTGTCAGTTTGCATTCCCACCAGCAGTGCAGGAGAGTTCCTTTTTCTCCACATCCTTGCCAACATTTGTTGTTGCTAGTTGTTTCAAGGTGTGCCATTCTCACTAGGGTGAGGTGGTATCTCATTGTGGTTTTAATCTGCATCTCAAAAGGGTGATTTTTTTTTAAAGGAGGTGAATAAGGTAGTTAACCACAGTCACTGACCCAATGAAGTAAGAACAAGGTCTAACTTCAAATTCCTCATAGTAGTAACCTTCTGAGGAAGAGTCACTTAAAGGCAAAGTTGAATTTGAAAGAACTCAAAATTACAAATAAGGTCAATATGCCTTATAAACAAGCAAAAATAAATAAAAGAAACATACTTCAAACAACAACAAAGTCTCCAGATTTCCTGCTTATATTCAACTAAATTTTATTTTAGAAGCCCATTTATATTTTACCCTGCTCTAAATATCAAATTATTCATCACATAATTAAACAGATTTTAAATAGAAAATTATTTGTACTAATTTAAGAAAATCAAAGAGATATATTACCTGATAAAACAGAACTGTAAATTTGGACATGCAATCTTCACAACAAAACTCTTCTAACTTGCCCTCCAATCGATTTTCTACCAAATTAGGGGATGTCTGACAACAATAACTACACATCTTACAGTAGTTTCCCCAACGTTCTCCAAAATCACGGGCAGAGAGGAACTTGCAAACTGAGAACCAGAGGAATGAAAAAAAGAAATGTCAATTTTGCATTAACTTGAAAGAGGTTGAGTTTCTATGTCTCATATACCAATTTTAATTGGAATCAATCTTTGCCTCTAGATTATAAGTTACCTATATTCAGAAACATAAAGCTATAAATTTCTTAAGCCAAAAAGCAGTACTCGCTTCATTAGCCTGTTTACAGATGGGAACAAGAACAAAAACATCTCTGAAGTCATTGCTAAACTCACAAAGAAATTTTCTATTTGATCCAATTATATTTTAAAAGTTTTTCTTTGAGGGCCCTCCCTGGTGGCGCAGCGGGTTGAAGCACAGCACTAAGAAGCTAAAGCCACTTCACATGAGTTCGATTCCCGCCTGCCCTGGAGGTGACCACATGGCGTGGCAGACCTCTCCTGACCCGCCCGCTGCTCCCCTCACAGTGTGCTTCATCAATCTGCCTGTTCTACTCCCCACTCTGTCTCTGGCGAAGCCTCTCGACGCCCCGGAGCCTCTGGCCTGTACCCCAGTTCTGTATGCACAAATAAATAAATCTTTAAAAAATAATAAAATAAAATAAAATAAAAATTAAAAAATAAAAAAAAAGTTTTTCTTTGAGAGTATTATAACATTTAATAACAGGATAGATGCTGACCCAAATTAAACATAAATTCAATTAAAAAGCTTCAGATTATACCTCAAAAAATCACTTGAAAATTGTGAATTAATAGCCCAACTCATAAATTAACTTTATAACAACTATGTTTTACGGATAAAACTGAATTTTTTTATGTACCTTCACTACAGAATGGCTTATCGACCCCTGAGAATCGTACGGTCTCCTTTATAATTTTCTGCAGTTTGCAGTAGTCACACATTGCCATGACTTTATTTTTCTTTTTGTAGTCATCAGAACAAATCTTGCCACAAAACAAAAACATTTTTCCCTGGAAAGAAGGAATAGTCAGTAAGATCTAACTAGTCACTTCATCTTTAAGAAATTCTCTGCCTTCTGATTTCAAAGCAAACTGGTTATCATCAAAGATGAAAAGGTAAATATGTTTTCTAATGGGTAAATTTATATTCAACCCCTTTGATGATCTCTCTTTACCTTGTAGAAAAGAAGTTCCGGTTTTGTGGTAAACAGACAGTAACAATGCTGACACGTGAGTCTAACAACTGCAGGGTTCAAAGCAACTTCCTGGGGGTGGGCAGCAACAGGCTGGACACTGGCTGCAGCAGAGCCACTGATGTTGCTGGGGGAAACGGCAGAGGTGTTACTTCCTCCTTCTGACACTACAGACCTGGAGGGCGGGCTTACAACCACTTGGCTCTGGGACAGGGGCACCACTGAAGAGTTTGTTCCTTTTGGTTTGCTAAATACATTCTGAACACAAAGAAGGCAAAGATTTTATCAACTGAGTAATAACATAAGTTGGTGATTTTCATTTTCTCATTTTAGTAAATTCTCCAAACATTTTTTAAAAATTTATAAAGTAATTCACAGAAAGGGTTTGAATAGCAAGTTTCCAGAATGGAAGGATTAAAACAGTCCAGAATAGAAAGAATGAGAAAAGTATCATTAAATGGCTAAGGACTAAAGATCAGGCTTTCCAGACAAAGACCACTAGTATATTGCTAATAAGTTAGGGTAGGCCTCTCTTTTCCCACCAGGATACCTTCCGCTTGCATTTTTATCACCAACCACCTTCTGATGGCTATTAAGAACACAGAGGCCAGAAAGAATAGTCTCTTTCTGTTGTTAGCAGGGACCCTGCATCAAACATCTTCCCATCCTGAAGAATCATTAAACCCTATCTACCCTTTCTCCAGTACTGCAGACAGTGAGGAGAAAGTGGGATAAGTAAAAAGAGCCTTACAATTCCATGCCAAGAGTCAAAATGTATATGACTCAGGATAAGAGGAAGTGACATGCAGTCACATCACCATATCACCTACCCAAACACTATCCTAGCTTCCATCCTTTTGAAAGGAATAAGGGAAAAAGTAGAAGGGAAGGGTAGTTTAGGTGAGAACTTTGAATAAGAAAGCACTTAAGACTCATAACCTTAGCTCTGATATACTGCATATAAAAATTCCAGGACCACAATTGAACAGAAGTTTTTTTCTAGCAAAATTAAATTTTGATAAGTATGAATCTCCAGCAGTTAATATTTTTCCACAGACCAATGCCTAAGAGAACTGCAGGGGTAAAATACAACCTTAGGTCATACCTGGAAAGCTACTACACAACTGGAGCTGCAGAAACTGTATATAGTTCCATTAGACATGGCTAGATGATACTGAGGGATTGCAGAGGTTTTACAACTATGACACGAAACCTGGACACCTTGAAAACAAAAAATAAAAATTAATGAGTAAGTGAAAAAATAGGAACAAAATGATCAAAAAAATGTATTAGGAGAATGAAAAAAAAACCACATTGCAATAAACAAAACAAAAATCAAGTAACTTTACCATAATCTGTAAAGCAAACTCCAACCAATCTCAGTTTAGTCCAATTTATACAGAAATTAACTGAAACTAAGCATTCCCATTAATTGGAACTAGTAAGTGTTTTTTTCTTTCTTTTCATCTACAAGACTACAAAGTAAATATCTCAATCATAAAAGCAGTGAAAAACTATTTTCCCTACTAGTCCTTAGAAACTAAATTTAGGGTTTTTTGTGCAGGCTTTTTTTTTTTTGGTTTATAACAAAATCCATTATATACCTCTTCAATAATTACCAAACTGTAAATATGACAAATTTAAACATTACCTGAAGAAGTAACAGTCTTAATTCTGTAAGCAGATAAGCAATTAATAGAACAGAAAAGCTCTGTTTTTCCTGAGTCATTTGTAGTCTCAATCATTTCAGCTGAGGGCCTCAATGATTTCCCCAAGGCATAAGGAGGAGTTTGGGCTGAATTCTACTCAAGAAAATAAAATAAAATTTAGGTATTCAGTACAAGCATACATGTATATATATTATTTAAGAGGGAAAAGAAAAAAGAAAAGCTACCTATAACCACTGCCTTTGCTTGAAATATCTGAGCATAACAGTGAGAACATACCAAGTAATCAAGTACAGAGTTCTCTGAAAGTTAAGATATGGACAATGGAAAGATGCTAACTAAAGAAAATTAGTAACTATCCCGGTAGATATACTAGCAACTATAATACACAGTAAAAGTAATGAATTAGGTAGTCATAACATACTTTTTTATCACAAATAATCAAAGAACACCAGGTAATCTGTCACTCAAAGGGCCATCCTCAATATATACTTGGGCATTAATCTAGAAGTGTCTACCAACTTCAAGGATACTCATCTGGTGAAACTCTTTAATTAAATTATATAATTTCCAGTATTACTACTTACTGAGTGCTTACCATAAGTAAGGCCACATGATATATATATATAGATATTTATCATAGACTCCTTCTAACAACATAGTGAGAGGTACATTAAAAAAATGGTATGAACAAAAAGTTTACATTCATATTAGCAAATAAAAGGAAAAGTAAGGATTAAACATTTCATCAGACTTTAAAGTCCAGGTCCCAACAACTACTTATACAATATAAGGTTTCTTAATAAAAAATTCTAGGAGTAACAAAATATAAATTGTGAAATTTCACTACATAATCTTCCTCGTTAAAAGAAAAATATCATTTATGCAGCTGATAGAGTACAAAATCAGTAACAAAATTAGGAATGGACTTTTTTTGGACCATATTATATAAAAATAACCTGGATTCTCTTCCTGTTGTAGTAACCAGCTACCAAAAGTGGCAACTCTTAGAAACAGGGTATTTTTCAGAGATGAGTGCTAACTACCAATTATCCAGAGGAACTGAAAAAGTAACCAAGCCTGCTACTGAAAAAAATGTTTAATTACCATTTGTATGCTTATATATATGTGTGTGTGTATATATATGTTATATATGTAAATTATCATTTAAGCAATAATTGACACATTTTTAAGCAATAGTTGACATATTAGTAACCATATGAACCCATGATTGATAAATACAAGGTTATTTATCAAGTATTCTAACAGAGCTTCCTTGAGACTCATTAATTTTATCACTGCTTAACTCTTGTTCATAATTATTTATAAAATGGAGTTATCTACACTATCAATATATCATGAAGTGTTTCCCACTAGTAGTAGATAATGAAATTACATTTATGAATTCTTGGCAAAGAAGGAAACTAAAAAATGATGTAGTTCATCTATATTCCTCCCTCACTACCAGTCAATTTACAAAATCAGATTCTATTCTACTTTTCTGGAGGGAAAGTCACACATCAGGATTGAGATCAGCTGACAGGAAGAGCTCACTCTTTCATTTTGCATTTCACCCATGCACAGTCAATAGAGACATGAGTCTAACTACATGCAAGGGGATGATTTTCATACCTGTTTATATGCTGTGACACTTGTTGAACTAAAAACCTTCTGGGACTGGGAAGAACCAGAGCTACTATAGCAATAGCTCCCACAGTTCTCACAACAGTTCATGGTAAGGTTGTTGGCAGAATGGAATTTTGAAAAACAGGCATCACTACAAAGACCATGTAGCACATTTTGATATTTAACTTCAAATCGAATCTAAGAAACAAAAACACATACAAATAAGAAAAGACAGTTAAAAATCTCTGACCTTTCAGCAGACTCCCAATAAAAGTAAACTATAGCTTACATCAGCATTCTTCTGACACATACTGCACTTAGTTGAAATGTTATGGGTATATATGGTAACCACAGGCTTTTTCTTTAACTCATAAGAAGAAAGGCATGATTGGCTGCAGAAATCTTTGCTAGGAGAATTTTCAAATCGGGTTGCAATCACATCCTTTGGATTTAAAATGTCTCTAAAAATAAATAAGAAAGACAAAATGAAATATACATTTCAATTTTAATTTCTTCTTCTTTGTGAACTAAAATAACTAGGTTTATTAGGGACAGTCATAGTAAAAAAATGGCTGGCTCGGGATAAGGTATCTAGAAACCAGGGATTGAATATTAGTTCTTTTACTTATCAGCTGAGTGGCAAGTGAGGCAATTTATAACTAATTTATAGATATGTGGAGGGAGAGTTATACTTAAAACAAATTTAGCCATCACCAACCAAGTTTCATCCACTAAAATCAATGGAATAAATAGCCATCCCACAATTCCAGACCATGAAACACATGTTATCTAACTAGCCAGCAGCCGCCAAGAGTTAGAAACATGAATGAGACAGCAAAAAAATTTTTAATTTAAATACAAGATATGGGAAATAGATGTATTACCAAAAATTAATCCTAAAAAATTAGCATGATATATAAAATTTAACTACAACTTAAGAGATCAGACAACAAAAGGACTGCTAAGTCTTGATATCAGAAAAAAGATGAAAACAAGAATGAGTCAGAATGCAAATAAATGAACAGTTATATGTGATCCTTAGGGTCATCTAAGAACTAATAACCACTGACAGTAAAAACAAAAGCTAAATATTGTATTTCTTCTGACAAGCATGAAAACTGAATGAAATGGACATTAAAAAGCTAGTATAGGTTACAAGTAAAAAATGATAAAGGTAATAATATTATATACTCTAACATTGTACATTGGGTAATTACTATGTGCCAGACATTGCTCCCTTTATTCAAATTATTCAACTTATTACAAACACTATGTGCTACATATTTCTATAATTTCCACTGTACAGATGAGACCAGATCAGAAAGAGAAAATAACTTCTCAAAGTCCTATCGCTGATAAACAGTGAAGCTAGAACACAAATTCAGGCACTTTGATTTTTGATTCTACAGTGTATGGAGTTAATCACTCCACTATACTGCCTCCCATTCTGTACCTTTCACATACAGAATTGTTCAACAGGGCGCTCCCTAGTGATGCAATGGGTTAAAGCTCAGCACTGTGAAGCTAGCCAAAGCTGCTTCAGCATAAGTTTGATCCCCAGCCAGGGAGGTGACCCACATGGTACAGCAGACCTCTCCTGTCTCCCCACTGCTCCCCCTCAGCAAAGTACTTTATCAGTCTGTTTGTTCTGCTCCCTACTATGTCTCTGGTAAATACTCTCATCATTCCTGCACCTCTGGCCTGTACCCCAGGTACATAATTAAAATCTTTTTTAAAAAAAGAATACATAAATTGAATCTTTTAAAAATAATAATAATACAACAAAGTACTTTAATTTTCTAAAACTCACCTAACCTTAAAAATATGACAGTGGGGTCCTTCCTGGTGGCACAGTGGATTAAAGCACAGCACTGAGAAGCTAAAGTCAATTCAGCATGAATTCGATCCCCACCCTGGTGGTGACCCACATGGCACAGCAGACCTCTCCTGACCCAACCACTGCTCCTTCAGCAGTGTACCTCGTGGATCTGCCTGTTCTGCTGCCTACTCTGTCTCTGGTGAATCCTCTCACCACCCCTGCACTTCTGGCCTGTACTCCACCTCTGTATGAATAAATAAGTAAATCTTAAAAAAAAAAATGACAGTGAATCTCTGGAACCAAGTGGATATGCTTACACATAGATGAAGTATTAATTTTGAAAAGTGACTTTTCTACTAAAAGCAGAATAAAGAATTTTATTTAGTAAGATGAATCTGCCAGTGGCATTATATACAAGTAAACCAATGAGGATGATTTTGTAATGGAAATCTGTGCACATAAGTAGAAATGCATTCTAAACCTGAGGCATTGAAATGAATGTTATAATGTAACATTTAGCTTAGAAAAGCCATACTTTTTCCAACAACTTGGTTCAAACATTTTTTCAAATTCCTTTTAACTCATAAGAATTAAAATGAAATTTTTATTTCATAGTCAAATATCATGTCTGACAGTATGATTCAGCTTAATCATCTACAATTGTTAGATAAGGCACCAATTAATTTGGCAATTTGCAAAAATTATACCTATGCTAAAACAATAAATTTGTCACTGTACCTAGTCTAAAGAAATGTTTCAGAGCCTCTGAAGGTAATACTAAATCAAGAGATCACAAAAGTTTTTTGAATACCACCACTACTGTGTTAAAAAGTCATTGATAAGTGGGGCTATTTTTAAGAAATACATTTGGATGTAAAAGTTATGCTAGTGATGCTATGTTCTTTAAATTTTCATTCATTTTATTATTTGATATGTTTAACAGAAAATTAAATTTAATCTTTCAGGTAAGTTTCATGAAGATGACATAAAAGAGTCAAAGCAAGATATGAAAAAAACATTTTTTACACAAAACTAAACTTGAATATTTAAGTATTTAAAAATCCCCCTTTCCTTTTAGCGGGACTTAGTTCTACTTTGGCAGTATCTACTTTTGGACACCTAAGGCCAACACACAAAGCAGCTAAATAACCATCATATATTTCCAAAGACAAACAAAATAGGAACCTATAAATCATATAGTAAATATATACAATAACAAATTAACAATATTAATTTTATTATTAATAGTAGGGTTCCACTTGCTAAGCATTTTCTGTGTTGTAGGCCCTGCGTTAGCACTGCCTCATTAAAATCCAAGGAAATGGACAGTATTTATCAATGAAGAAACTGAAATTTACAAAAGTTTCAAATCTAACCCAAAGTCACAGAGCTAATAAGTGAAAGAGAAATTATCTAAAACTAAGCTCTTAATTTTTCCAACTCCAGATTAGTGACTACTGACAATGCACTATATTTGTGGAATTAGACCACACAGAGATAAGCTAAAAATGCTAAACCCTTCCCAAATGGACAAAGAGAAAAGCTCACATGATTTTTGTTACTATATCACTTTCCTCTGTATCTACATATTACTGGAAGCAACAATGACCCCAACAAAAATTCACAAGAGTTTAAAAAAATAAATACATTATTTTTGTAGCCAGTTTTTTTTTAACCTTTCAAAGAATTAAATAACTTTCACATACTATTATCATAAGAATGATATCATTTTATTCTATACTTGAAAAAGTTTCAAGGTAACAAATAACTGCAAATGGTAGTTATCTACAATTACAGGACAAATGAGGGGTTCTGCCAATGGCTTGTTACTTCTTTCCAGAGTAAAACTTAAAGAAATGGAGATAGAAAAACTTCTTTAGGCAATACTTTCTCAAATTTCTCCATTAGCTAAAAAGCTATTCCCATGGGAATGTGTTAAAGTCACAATAGCATGTCTAAACTGAACTATATGCACACTAATAAAGTAAAGGGATTATAATTAAGAATTTTATACTTCAAGCAGTTTGTGCAGGTTTTCTTGGGAAGAGTTGGCAGGTAGACTGGTGAGGAATATCCAGTGATGCATCGCGTGGAACAAAAGAGCTCAGTGGATCCTGTCTTATGATAAGCAGTTTGTCCCTTATAAAGTATTTTTTTACAACCAGTACAGAAAACCTGAATAGCAACAGCCGGAACTGAAGGAACCAATATATTTTGAGCAGATGAGGCAACAGAAAACTGAAAACCAGGAGTCAACTGCTGGGCTATAAAAACAAAAAATAAGAGGAAAAAAAAAACACAGCTTTATTATGAACAGGAATGCATTCTCTTATTTCGTAAGACAAATTTCCTCAGTCTGAAGTCAATATTGAGGTAATAAATACTCCAAAACCATGGGTTTCAAACTTTTTAGCCATAGTAAGAACTATACCTCACAATATAAACCATGACTTGCACACATACATACGTGTGTAAATTTTTTTTAATAACTGAAACAGTAATTTCATGAAATGTCTCATTATAAGCACCTATATACCCTTATTCAGTGCCACTTTTAGAAATACTCATGAAGCCCATAATACTCACCCCTTGAAAAGTTTTGCTTTATCTAAAGGAAAAGAAAGACTTATAAGAGATGCTACTTTCCTTCAACTCTATTCTTCAAAACATAAAAACTATTAACTCATGCAGTTCTATTTCTTACCAAGAGGACTCTCACTGACTGAAAACACAGCACTAATTTTCAGTTCACTTTCTTGAGTTTTTGATATTTGGGTATGTCCATATTCCTTAAAGAAAGAGAGGGAAATGAAAAGAGAGAGAGAGAGAGAGAGAGGAAAATGATGAGCGTATATCCAAGGACTCTAGAAAAATCAAGCAAAAATAATTCTGTTGCATTTATCTCTTCTATATTCTAATAATGATCATCTCCAGATAAATACCTGAAATGTCAAAATCTACAAGTTACTAGACAAGATTTAATCTTTATAAAAAGGATCTCTCACAACTGGGCAATGTTTTATAACATACTTTTCAAACATAATCTTGACACAGCATCTAATATACAGCATTTAAAAGACTGGGTTCATAAGAAAGCAACAAATAAAATTAACTCTGAGTAACTGAGTTTGGATCAAATCAGTAAATTTTTTTAACCATTTTTTTTTAATTGAAATAGTTGTAAAAGTACAGATACAGGAAATACTGGAAGTTTTTAACAAAATCTGCACAGCAGAGATTTCCTTCTGAATTTTGCAGACATATGCAATTCACATAAACTAAAATTTAAAACAAAACCTTTTTGGCATTTAACCTGTTAGCTACATAGTAAGATCAAATCAGTAATTTTAGCCAACTGTTGTCCTATCTATTAACGGCAGAAAATGCACAAGAGTTTCAGAGCAATCTGCTCATTATACATAAAATATAGAACACCTACGGGCCCTCCCTGGTGGCCAGCGTGTTAAAGCACAACACAAAGCAGCTTAAACCACTTGCGCATGGGAGTTGGATCCTGCCTGCCTGGAGGTGACCACATGACGAGGCAGACCTCTCCTGACTGCCCGCTGCTCCCCTCAGCGGTGTACTTTGTTGATCTGCCTGTTCTGCTCCCCACTCTGTCTCTGGTGAATCCTCTCACCCTCTGCATCTCTGACCTGTACCCCAGTTCTGTACGAATAAATAAATCTTTAAAATATATATATATATAAATATATATATATAGAACACCTAAATAAATTTATTCTTAACACACTCTTTACAATACTTAAAAAATAAATTTTACTTTTTCTTTTAACTTAACTTTAAAATACATACACCGGGACCTCTGTGGTAGCCTAGGAGTTAAGTCTCAGCACTATCACCTCTATGGCCTGAGCTTGAGCCCACAATGTGACATGTGGGAGCTGACCTACATGTGGCACAGCATACCGGTCCTGTCTCTGCTGCTCCCTTCATCAGCGTATTCCCTTTTGCAGTGTATTCCAATGTATTCTGCTCCCCACTCTGTGGTGAATCCTTTCACCTCTAACACTTTTGGCCTACACCTCAGTTCTTCTACAAAATAAATATTTTAAATATAGTAATAAAATAAAATGCATACACCTATATTGAAAAAAGACTGTCCCTTTATTCTTAAATCACAACAAACCCCACTTTAGTTATTTATTTTGGTGTTAAAACAGCCTGACGGATTTCAAACTGTAAAGGTTTTATAAGTCTTACTATTCTGAAACAACAGTAAGAGAATGGTAAAAGAATTAGGAATAATTTCCCTCTCTGTAGCAATGCAAATGACTGCTATATCAGTTGTCAAGTTGCTTTTGAAATTTCTGTGGGCTACTAAATGCCAAAAACTAGGAAACACTGCCATTAATTTACCACATCTCATGATGTACATTATGTCACCAAGCATGCTACTGCCAATACTGTAGGCCTAATACACCATCATCATTTCATACTTATTTGGGTAATAACCTATTTAACACCATGGGTTCTGACAGAAGACAGAAACAGACATGATCTTGGCTCTTCAATAAGTAATTTAATTTTAGTTTCTATTTCCTTATCTACAAACTAAAACTGATATTATCTAACGTATGGGCTGTTACAGGAAGCAGGGGGCAAATGATTTAATACAAAAAGTATGGGGCATGATTTATAGCTAGCCAAAAGTTAAAGATGATATCACATGGGCCCTCCCTGGTGGCGCAGCCGGTTAAAGCACAGCACTGAGAATCTAAAGCCACTTCCGCATGAGTTCGATTCCCACCTGCCCCGGAGGTGACCACATGGCGTGGCAGACCTCTCCTGACCCGCCCGCTGCTCCCCTCAGCAGTGTACTTTGTAGATCTGCCTGTTCTGCTCCCCACTCTGTCTCTGGTGAAGCCTCTCACTGCCCCTGAGCCTCTGGCCTGTACCCCCAGTTCTGTATGCACAAATAAATAAATCTTAAAAAAAAAAAGACGATATGCACACAAAAATGCTAATTCCTACTATTTTCATAAGAAGCCATTTCATTAATATTTATCCAATGGGTAAATCCATGTCTATTCAATTCAAAATCCAAGTCTATTCAATTCAAAGTGGATATTCTTAAACATAATACTTAAACAAAAATACTTATGTATTAGGGGCTTCCCTGGTAGCCCAAGGGGTTAGAGCAAAGCACAATGAGGCTCTCCACAGCCACTGCAGCACCAGTTCAATCCCCAGCCAGGGAGGTGACCCACATGGCACAGCAGACCTCTCCCATCTTACCCACTGCTCTCTTCAATAGTGTATTTCACTCCATCTGCCTTTTCTGCTCCCCACTCTGTCTCTGGTAAAACTTCTTATCCCCCACACCTCTGGCCTATTCCCTAGTTCTTATATGCATAAATAAATCTTTACAAAACAAATGTTGGCAATTTTGTTATCTTAATTTTCTCATTCAATTGATTATCTTTTAATTTCATTAATTTCTATCATAATTTAGAAGTATATTGCATTATTTCTATTTTTTTAATTTTACTAGCCTTCATTTTATTGATTTCTGCTATGACTGGCAAACCTACATTGTATGATTTCAACTGTTTTATACTTGGTGGATTTGTTTTTGGTGTAGGATATAGTAAAGTAGCTGAATGTTCCATGTACACTTGAGATGAATTTGTTATTATACTGCTTCTGGGTCAAATCTTAAATGGATATAATTATCTAGCTATCTGATAAAAAAAATAATCTGCCTCATTACTGAATCGCTATATTTTTCTAATATGCCAGTGACATTTCCCTAGTCAGTTTCAGTACCAAGCCCACATGTGATATTTCAATTTCACCAGGAAAAAAAAAGCAGTAAGAACTCTCTCATCATGCCAGTTCTCACCCCCATATTTATAGCCTGATCAGCAGATTCCTATCTTGCAGGAAAATGCAACCTTAGTCATGACTAAAAGAGTGCTTACATTCAGAAGCCCTTTCCCTCTCACCTCAGTTGAGCATTTCATAAATACCTTTGCATATCTTCAGCCTCTCTCCACCTTCATCTTGGTTTTCTCCTTTCAGTTTACAAGGAACCCATTCCGTTAGGATCAGTTTTAGTTTATAAACTTTGACCCTCTCATCTCTTTTCAACTAAATTTAGAAAGTACTCTGTTCTTTATTTCCTCACTTTCCCTTCCCAACCCACATAATTAAAAGTGTTCTGAAATAAGAGATCGGGGAAAAATAATAACAATAAAATATACAACAAAACAAAGCAAAAATAAACAGACAACTATAAATCAGAGACATTCTGAAGGGGAGGAGGGACAGGGCTCAAAACGAGGTGAGAAGAGCACAAAGGACTGTGGTGATGGTGCACAGGTGAATTGGTGGTGGGAATTCTAGGGAACTATACCTCAGGAAAGAAAGCAAACGTTAAAAAAAAAGAACAATGAGGGGTCTCCCTATGGCAGGAGGTTAAAGCACTGCACTGTGAAGCTTTCCACAGCCACTACAGCATGAGTTCAATCCCCAGCCAGGAAACTGACCCACATGGCAAAGCAGACATCTGTCTGTCCCACTGTTCCCCTCAGCAGGGTACTTCAGTGATCTGCCTGTTCTGCTCCCCACTGTCTCTGGTGAATCATCTCAACTCCTCTGCACCTCTGGCCTGTACCCCAGTTCTAGCATGCATAAATGAATGAATCTTTAAAAAAAGATAATCATCTCACAGTTGGCTAATCCAATAAACAGTTTTAGGCTTCATTTTACTTGTCATTCTGATACATCTAACGCCGTCAATGATGCCATTCATTGTCTTCTGGTTTTATTATTTCAATTCATTACATTCATTTTTAGTATCCCTGACTCTTATATTCACCCCTAAAGTCTATGGTTCCCAAATTCAATGGCATCAGAATTCCCTAGGAGTCTTGTCACAACAGGTTGTTGGGCTTCAGTCCCAGACATTCTGATTTGGTAGGTGTGGAGCAGGGCTGAATAAACACATTTCTATTAAGTTCCCAGGTAAAAATCTGAGGTAGCTGGTAGGGGGAATGATTAATTTGAAGACTCTTAAGTCCTACATTAATCCAGTTCCTAGCTTTCTTCCCTGAAGTAGGGCCTCCTAGACTAGTTCGTAAGGGTTGTCCAATAAGTAATTATCTCTCTCATTTCTATACCTTACTCCCCTAGCAGTATCTCTTTTCTCGAGAAAAGAGGCCTGATGTTTTCATCTTTGTAGCTTTTGTGAAAACAAAACAGCTAACACAACTTAGCACCATGGTTAAGAGTTTGGGTTCCTAAACAAAATTGTTGGGTTCAACCATCTACTAGTTGTGAGAAATTTAATAAGTTACTATCTCTGTCTCAGCTTCTGTATATAAATGGGAATAGTAACACTTCTTAACTTGTAGGGTTGTGATCATCAAATGGAGTCTTTAAGTAAACTGCTTATAAAAAGTGCTATGGATTATATTAAGCAGGAATAAAAACTCAATGAATGAGAGTTCAACTATAACTTTAATATCTAGAACAGACTTTTACTATATGCGAAATATGTCTCCTATTTTCTAATATTCAAATGTAACATGGAAACCAGCATATACTATTTGTTCAATAGACTTTTTTATTATCATAGCTCTCACTCTTAATCATGAAAAAGTATGGCCTATGCACCGTGAAATTATGTAAACCCAAAAGAACTGAGAAGGCCCCTAGAGACTTAAATTTTTTTAAAGGTTTTATTTATTTATGCATACAGAAATGGAGGACAAGCCAGAGGTGCAGGGGTGGTGAGAGGATTCACCAGAAACAGAGTGGGGAGCAGAATAGGCAGATCGGCAAACTACACTGCTGAGGGGAGTAGTGGGCCTGACAGGAGAGGTCTGCTGCGCTGTGTGGATCACCTCCGGGCTAGGGACTTAAATTTACGATGCAAGTTATTTTTATATTCAGAAAGAATATTCAACTGACTCACAACACAGTGTCTGTTAAATTTATACACTACAGATGAGGTCTAATGAAAGAAATATTAAAAGTATAATTTAAAAACTGATTTTGTATTCCAATTTTGCCACTGGACCTTGGTGAAGTCACCTGTTCCTTCAGGCTCAGTTTCCTCATCTATAAGACAAAGGCTTTTATTCCAATTCTTTGAGCATGTACTGTGTAGCAGCCATTGTGCCAGGAATTGAGAATTCAGACAAGACTTTGTGCAAAAACAAAATTCATTGGCCTCTGGAGGTCACAATAAATGTGGAAGTACTACACAATAGAAGAAAAATGAGACAATGGTTAATTCTGAGTGACAGCTACATTACATCTTAAGAGAAAAGTAAACTTTTTGTTTAGAATATTGCACAGAGAAGTGGCAAGTGCAATGCCTAAAGGAAATCAAACTCAACAGACTATATATTTGAGTAAAATGCAAATAGTCTGCAGGTGCATCAATTAGAAGAGGTGGGAAGGATGACTGCTACACAGGAGAGAGAAACAAAGGCCTAAACATAATTTGGATGTCACACCAAAAGGTTTATGCTTAATCACAAGTGAGGGGACAGGTATTTAAAGGCAGTAATGTCATCAGATCTATACAGAATATAATGGCATCAGTATACAGTGATTTATGGGGAATGGGACGAAAAGAGAGAAAAAGGAAACTGTCATAAAAGTGAAAATAAGGAATAATGAGAGAAGAAAAGGAAGACACAGGGTAAAAAAGTACTTTAAAAGGCAGAAATCGGGCCCTCCCTGGTGGCGCAGTGGGTTAAAGCACAGCACTACGAAGCTTGGGCCACTTCCTCATGAGTTCGATTCCTGCCTGCCCCGGAGGAGTCCACGTGGCGAGGCAGACCTCTCCTGGCCCGCCCGCTGCTCCCCTCAGCAGTGTACTTCGTCCTTCTGCCTGTTCTGCTCCCCACTCTGTCTCTGGTGAATCCTCTCACCCTCCGCATCTCTGGCCTGTACCCCAGTTCTATATGAATAAATAAATAAATCTTTTAAAAAAAAAGGCAAAAATCACAAAACTTAGCAAATGGTGACTTCTGAAACTACTTCAGTAAGCTTCACAGTACAGATGAGTAAGACAAAATAATACTACCTTTCATGTGGTCTGAGAAATAAAATGTTATCTTTATTAATCATCCATATTTTTCATACCATTGCTTTGCTGATGCAATAAAGTCAGCGCTACTGCACATGAAGCAAAACAACAATCCAAAAAGAAAAAAAGTATTTTCTGCCAAAGCAACTAACAGGTTATACTGATCAACTGACAATAATTTCCACAGATTGCCAAACTGGGTCCCAAGTGAGCACTGCACGTTTATCACACTTGCCCACTTAAAACCCTCCAATGGTTTCCCTTTGCTCTCAGCAGAAGAGCCAAAATTCATCACAAGTCCTGCTTCAAGCTACCTACAGAGCCTTATCCTATACGTTAATAGTGTAGGCCCTGGATTTGAATCCAGGTTTGCCATTAAAGACCTGTGATCTGTGTTAAACTGCTTGACCTCTTTGTATTTTAGTGTCCTTATCTGTAAAATGGGAGTAATGACTGTGAAAATGGTGTCTGATGCAATCTAAGGACATATAAGTATTAAAAATAAGTCGTTATTATTGATAATGTCACATTATTATTATATAAATTTCACATTAAAACCATGTACTGGGGCCTCCCTGGTGGCCCAAGGGGTTAAAGCACAGCACTATGAAGCTATCCCCAGCCACTGCAGCACGAGTTTGACCCACCTAGCGCTGCAGACCTCTCCTGTTTCACTTGTACAGGTCAAGTGAAAAGAGGTCAAGCAGTTTAACATAGATCACAGGTCTTTAATGGCAAACCTGGATTCAAATCCAGGGCCTACAATATTAACTTATAGGATAAGGCTCTGTAGGTAGCTTGAAGCAGAAAGTGAAATACACCGCTCCCCTCAGCAGTGTATTTAAGTAGTTAGGACTGTTCTGCTCCCCATTCTGTCTCTGTTGAATCCTCTCACCCCAGCACCTCTGGCCTACACCCCAGTTCTTGTATGCATAAATAAATAAATCTTAAAGAAAACCAAAAATATGTATTAGTATTGTTGTTACTATTTTTACATTTCTATTCCAGGCCCATTGGTCTTGCAGTTCTTCAAAAGCCATGCACCTTTCCAACTCCAGTGCTTTCTTATATGCAAATGTCTCTGTTGGGAACATTCATCTCTGTACCTTGGCCGGGTCAATTCATTCTTCACAGCTTCAAATTCAGCTTATGAAGATTCCCCTAGGGAAGCTTTCCCTTGGCTAGCCTTACTACAGTCTACGCAGCCCTTGCTTCTCCTTCAAAACTAGGTCTGGTCCTTCATTTTAGGCTTTTCTCCCAAATCACTTGTCATAACTATGTTTTTAACCAATTACTTGTGTAATATCTCCCTTGCTAACTTAAAAACTCTGCCAAGAGAGAGCCTTAAATTGACTGTGCTCACTCCTACATTCCCAGAGCCTGGTACAGAGTAGACCACAAATACAGAAAAAAGGAAAACACTATCAGATACAAGAGAAAAAACTACCAGATACAAGACACCACGAAGGGAAAGTGGTAATGCATATTACTTCACTTTTACAAAAAGAAATACACACACAACAGTATCTTTTTTACTGGGGGGTGGGGATTATTTACCAATCTAACTGGGGGTAGGGGGTGGGGGACGTTTCCCCCAAAACTGCCTAACTAAAAAGTTGAGCTCATCTGATAGAAAAGAAGGAACAGAAAATCTAAGTAAAGATGAAATGCTTACTTGAACATTATCCGGTTCTTCTTTAATTTTGTCCAGAAGCCCCTGCTGCGGTGCCATTGCTTTGCCACATTCACCATCCAAAGGTTCCTTCATTCTAATTTTTTATGTAGAGGTTAATACCCAGTCTAAAACTAAAACTTTTCTTCTTGATAATGGCTAGCTGGACTCCTAAAACACAACATAGAGGATTGGTAATCTGATTGGTTTGGTTTTTTTACATTTGTCTACAAAGCTTTGTGTTGAGCAGAGGCCTTAGGAGTGCTTATTGAAAAGACAACTCCTCTGAGGCCTCACTATGCTCCTTTCTTCTGTCCTCTGCTTCCTTGCCAGCTTCAGTTAAGAAGTCTTCCGGAAAGAGCTCCCACTTCCCCAATAGCTTTAAAACACACACTCTGGTCTTTTATATATTGAAATTCACTAAGGGAGTTGGACTAGCAGAAGTGGGGAAAAACCACCAAGTTAGAAGAAAGGGTTCAAATAGTTTGACTCTGTGAGGTTGAGTACTTGTAAGCCCGCCTCAATTTTAATTTTTCAGATTGGGGCATAACCAAGCCCCCACCCCCATTCCTAACAGCTTTCACTAGTGGCTTCCATAGGCCCCTAAGATAGATTCGCACTAAAGATGCTGTCAAGAGTGAATCACACGGATGCCTGCTCCTTTCAAGTTCTTTTCAAGGGGGGTTAGGGGGGCCACCCAGGAATGAACCCCTGTGAGCTTTGCTTCACAACAGCATTCCTGTAAACAAGAAACTCGATTAGCTGTTGAGCAGAGTTCTCCCCCTCCAAGAGTAAACGTATAAAAAGGACACAGTAAATCCGAAGAATGAATAAAAAACTCCCTAAAGTTGTCTTTATCCAAATAATAAAACCTGCACAGAAACAGGCAGCTGGTTTAAAATCCCCTGTGAAAGAAGAACTCCTGACCCCTTGCCCCAGTTACAACAATCTATGGGCGCTCCTTCCTCCAGTATCGCATTGCGCCAAAAGTCTCGTCCCCAACAATATTGTCCACGTCCGTCACCTAGTAGAAACGCAGCAACGCTGTATCAGAGGACTAGAACGGAACCGCAAATGCCTAGGAGCGCGTCACTGCGGGGAAATCAGCAGCCGGTCAGCATCAGCCGCACAGCCTGCCGGGTGCAGCCCCCGCCCCCGCCCGCCTAGTCACGTGTGCCGGCCTCTGCCCTGCCCCTCGCGGCCCCTCCTGCTCTCGCCTGAGGCGCTCACCTTCCAGTCCCCTTCCTGCCACCTGGGAAATACCCAATGGGACAGAAGGAACACGTCCCAAGACCCCAGCGTCAAGACAAGGGTTATTTGCTCTTAGTGGGGTTCTTCCGCCTGAATCAACCCAACACCACACCGGCAGCCACGCGCATGCCCAACCCTTGTCTCCGCCCTCTTTCCCCGTCGTGCTCCGCAAGAGCTGAGTGCGGCTTCCCAGCATTCCTCTTTCCTCAATCATGGTTGCTTTCTTAAAGAGCCTGAGCCTTAATTGTGAGAAGGTAGAGAAAGGAGCTAGGGAGTGTGGAGAGATAGGAGCGCGAGGAAGACTGTTTAGGAGCTTAAGATTGTCATGAGGAAGGCATCCTTACCCACTGTACTTAGAAAAACAAAACAAAACCCAGAAGCAGATTTAAATAGGGAGTGATGAAAAGGAGAGTTAAGAGAGGGAAGAAGAAAAGTTATTGGCTAGCAGGTGACAGGATGCCTTTCTGTCCTATCAGTGGATAGTATCAGTTGAACAGACAGTAGAGGACGATATATGAAGCCAACAAAGAGGCCCACCAGGACAGTTTCAGCCATTTTGTTACATGTGATAGCTCTGCCTCTCCCCTAGTGCCCAGCAGCCCTTGTCTTAGGGAGTCAATAGGGTGAGCCTGGAAAATGGTAATTGGTTTATTTACAAAAGGGGAAAGGAAAAGAAAACAACTGAGGGCAAGAGAGAGTAATACAACATAACGAGAATATCTTACCAGCTCTGCTGACTTGGAGCTCTAGTAACAAAACTAACTGATAGCACTCAGTCGTAGTCTCAGAGCTGTTACCTTTCCAAAGCGACAGTTGGAAAGCCACTCACTCTCTATCACCCAAAGTCCCAGAGTGCCTGCTTAGCTCCGCCCTTGGGTCCTGGCAGTTCTCTCCTTGGTACTGCTGGGAATTGTAGTTTCCAATCACTGGAGTAGGGGGTGGAATCCAGAAAGCTGGAGAAGGGGGTGTAGTCCACAAAACTGCAGAGTTCCTTTAGGACATCCTTTCCCTTAACAGTATCAGTTGAACAGGGGGCAATATATGAAGCCAACAAAGAGGCCCACCAGGCTAGTGTCAGCCATTTTGTTACATGTGATAGCTCTTCCCTTCCCCTAGCTCCCAGCAGCCCTTGTCTTAGGGAGTCTACAGGGTAGAGCCTAGAAAACTCCACTTTGTACCACTGATTTGGTGATGAGTGCCACCCATAGGCTGGGAGGTTCTTCTCATTGTTCCACTAATGAGATTTTGCTATGAATGTCCAGCTTGTTTCCTTGATGCAATTTTCCGAAAAGGTGGACCGCTTAGAAAAAAAAAAAAACCATGGTAATTAATAGCTCATTCATTAAGTGAGTGCTTTTAAATATTTGATATGCATTCATTTCACTTACTTCTGACCACAGCCCCAAAGGACCTTTGTTTTTATCTTAGAGATATCTTAGAGATAAGTTATGCTCAACATAAGATTTCTTATTTTTCATTCAACATTGTTTTGAAGCCATGATTTGTGAGGCTATTGTTTGCTATTTTTGACAACTATATAGTACTTCATATTAAGAATATGCTGTAATTTAACCATTTTCTGTTGGTGCACATTTGAACTTTTTTTTAAAGTTTATTTATTTATGCATACAGAACTGGGGTACAGGCCAGGGGTGTAGGGGCAGTGAGAATATTCACCAGAGACAGAATGGGGAGCAGAATAGGCAGATCAAAAATGTACACTGCTGAGAGGAGCAGCGGGAGGTTCAGAAGAGGTCTTCTGTGCCATAAGGGTCAGCTCTGGGCTAGGGATTGAACTCATGCTGAAGTGGCTTTAGCTTCTTAGTTCTGTGCTTTAACCCGCTGCGCCACCAGGGAGGGCCCATTTGAACTACTTTTAATAGTCTGTCCTTTCTCCAGCTGCTCTGTATTTTTACCTTTGTCATACATATATGTTCTCTTTAAAGGTATGGGTTTATTCTCTCTCTTTTTTTTTTAAAGATTTATTTATTCATACAGAACTGGGGTACAGGCCAGAGATGCGGAGGGTGAGAAGATTCACCAGGAACAGAGTGGGGAGCAGAACAGGCAGATCGTCGAAGTACACTGCTGAGGGGAGCAGCGGGCGGGTCAGGAGAGGTCTGCCGCACCATGTGGGTCTCCTCCGGGGCACACAGGGATGGAACTCATGCGGAATTGGCTTAAGCTTCTTAGTGCAGTGCTTTAACCCGCTGCGCCACCAGGGAGGGCCGGGTTTATTCTTTTTGTCTGTGTTTTCTATTCTTTTTGACTCTGTAGAAATATCACAACTATTATTTTCCATACAGTTTTATAGTAAATCTTGAAAAAGTCTCTCTTCCTATCTCCATTCTTCAAAATTTCCTTAAATGTTCTTTGCATATTCATGTAAATTTTAGGGCAAGCTGTCAATGTGGCAACGATTTTCTTATAAAATTTTCAATCAACTGAGATTTAGTTTAGTAGTACACTGACACTGTACACCTGTTTTGGAGAACTGGCATTTGTTATTCATTATGTTGAATTGTATCCTCAAAAAAGATATGTCAGAGGCTTATTTGAGAATAGAAGTTTTACAGATGTAATTAGTTAAGATGAATCATACTAAACTAGAATTCCCTTTAACTTAATATCATTGATGTCCTTCTAAAGAAGACAGAGAGTGATGCATGAGTAAGAACACTAGATGGAAACTGAGGCAAAGCTTGAACTGTTGCAGTCCAACCCACAGAATGCCAAGGATTAGCAATAAACACTAGAATCTAGAATCTAGAAGAGTTAAGGAAAGTTTCTCCCAATCAGGTTTCAGAGAGATTACTGCACTGCTGATAACTTGATTTTGGATCTCTAACCTCCCAAATGGTGAGACAATAAATCTCTCTTTGTAATACTTTGTGATAGCAGGACTAGTAAACAAATTTAGCATTATTTAGGGTTAAATCTTCCAATCAATAAAAATCTCTCCATTTATCCAGGTAGTTGTAATTTCTCTTAATAATTTTATAAGTTTTTAAGTATAGAAAAAACACATTTTTAGGCTTATTTTAGATATTTGATACTTATGTTAATTTAAATGGTAAAATTTAATTTTTTTAAATATTTATTTATTTATGTATATAAGAACTGGGGTACAGGCCAGAGCTGTGGGAGGGTGAGATGACTCACCAGAGACAGAGTGAGGAGTAGAGTAGGTAGACTGACTGAAATACACTGCCAAGGGAGCAGCAGGTGGGTCAGAAGATTTCTGCCTTGCCATGTAGGTCACCTCCCTGGCCGGCTGGGAATCGAACTTGTGCTGCAGTGACTGCAGATCACTTTCATAGTGCTGTGCTTTAATCCACTGCACCACCAGAAAGGGCCCAAATTTTCTAATTGAACATTTCCAGTATAAATATAGAAATACAATTGATTTTTATATATTGATCTCAAAGCCAGCACCCTTGGTAAATCTGCATATTAATTCTAATTCTAATATCCATATTTTAATTGTATAAGTTTACAACTATATACAGAATGACAAATTTATGCTTTCCAGACTCACAACTTTTATTGAATTATTTTGTCTTACTGCACTGGCTACAATTTTCATAATGTATTAAATAGAAAATGGTTACATTTAGGCCCCTGTATCTTCTTCCTGCTGTGTTGTGTGTTCCTGCTCATTAAATATTATTTTGCTTTATTTTGCAGTTACCTATTATGAAATTAAATGTGACTATAAATTACTTACAACAGCTCCCTACCAGGAGAAGGAATCTATTTCCTCACCTCCTTGATTTTGGATTGACCTTGTAAATTACTTTCACTGATACGAAGTGACAGAAGTGATATCATTTGAATTCTCAAGTGTAGGTCTTAATAGTCCTTGTATCTTATACTTTCACTCTCTTGGTACATTGCTACCATCATATCAAGTTTAGATGGTTAAACTGTTGAATGGTGAAAAGTAGCAAGTACCCAGCACAAGCCAGCATTAAAATAGAAGAGATTACTAACGTTCAGCACTCCCACACCTGGGGAAATGAACTTTGGAAGCCCTTTCTATGAGCAGTAAATTTTGGGGAAATAAATTATCTTCTGGCAACCAGATGAAAAAGTGGACATGAAGGAAAAACAGGAGATGGGAAAGGAAATGTTGCCAACACAAAATTCATGTGTCCCATAACAAGATCTGACCAGATAGGGTTCAAAGGCTTTTATGTAAGCTATATACAATTTAAGTTACTGTCAGGATATTTGTACAAGGAGAGGGTATATGGAGAAAGTATTAGTTAGGCTGTGACACTATCCTGAGTGACCTTCAAGCAACCTTGACCATGGACAAGATAGGCAGCCTTCTACATTCTGTGTAGCCTCTGGGACCAGCTTTCTACAAGCTTGTACTTCAGAATTTGAAGGCACTGTGGTGGCTACATCATCTGAGGCTTGTGAAGTGCCTGAATTCCTGTTGCTATCTTCCAAAATGAGTCTCTAGTCTCTATTTGCACACCTTTCAAGACAAGATAACTCCCACATGGTAGCTTGTTTCCTACCGGAAAGCTCTGGGTGGTATGATCATAAGACTTCTTGCCCAGGAACAGGAGTTGTTCCCCTTTTTCCCTCTTCTGTCCTCACCCCCAATTATATATGTCACTTCTGGGATGACACTCTTTCTTTTCTCAATCACGTTGTGCCTACCTAAAGTTATTATTGACCCAGAGTCAATACTCACTCCTAGAGACATAGAGATGGATGAGATACATTTTGGTTTTAAAGCTCATGCCATAGTGAAGCGGCAAACATGGGGAAGAAAAGCTGTTAACAAGAATAACTGAGGAAGTGATTGACTTGGCCTTGGGGGAAGAGATAGTACTTTCAGG